TTAAACAGTCCTCTCCCTCCCTGCAGGAGCTGAACGTGTGTCTCCACTGGGCGGCGTATGCAGGCAACGTGGATATAGCCGAGCTGGTGTTGAACTCTGGCTGTTCCCTCGCCTCAGTCAACATGCACGGAGACACGCCGCTCCACATTGCCGCCAGAGAGGGCTACTTGGAATGCGTCACGTGAGTCAACGTCAATCACGAGCTGTAGACTCATTCCATGAACAGAGCGTCCTTTGCTCTGACCTTGAAGCCGCAGCACCCGTCCATATACCCACTACCACACACCACCAAAATACTGTTTTTTCTCTGCAGGTTGTTCCTGTCCAGAGGGGCAGACATTGACATCGTGAACAGGGAAGGAGACACGCCTCTCAGCCTGGCACGGGTCGACACGCCGGTGTGGGTGGCGCTCCAGATCAACAGGAAGCTGAGAAGGGGAATAACCAATCGCATGCTTCGGACTGAGAGAATCATCTGCAGGTAGTTGTTGTGTTGTTTTAATGGAGACTAATGATGAACTTGATCTTCTTAACCAGATGGCTTTCCTCTTGTTTAACTCATTTAACTCCTTCCTTTCTCCCAGTGACATTGCGCAGGGCTATGAGAACGTGCCGATACCGTGCGTGAATGCCGTGGACGACGAGGGCTGTCCTTCAGACTACAAATATGTTTCGGAAAACTGTGAAACTTCAGCAATGAACATAGACCGCAATATTACACACTTGCAGGTACAAGATGACTCGGGCTCTCGTTTTACTTCATTATTCTCTTTCTGTTACATACACACAATTATTTTGATCTCATGCCTTTTTAATCGTCTTTACTTCAGCACTGTAGCTGTACCGACGACTGCTCATCTAGTAACTGCCTCTGTGGACAGCTCAGTATCCGCTGCTGGTACGACAAGGTAAATAGAAACGTTTCGGCCACATCACCAGAGTAATCCGTTTGGATTTTATGGCCTTAATAAAGATCTGGGTAATCTGAAATTAATAACAGAAATTCTAATGAGGTTCGGTTTGAAAGTCTGTGCGATCCATGGGGTCAATGACTGGGATTCACGAGTTACATGAGAAACTAAAGGAGGTGAAACTAATGTCATCTTGTATTATTTCTTTCTAGGACCAGCGGCTGCTTCAGGAATTCAACAAAATTGAACCTCCACTTATATTTGAATGCAACATGGCGTGTTCCTGTTACCGAACGTGCAAGAACAGAGTGGTACAGGCAGGCATCAAGTAAGAATTCCAATGTTAACACAGTATCTCCACCACATGCAACTAATCATTGGAGCAATAGATTTGACTCATTTGAAAAGCTACCTACTCGGTTACCTTGTGAAGTTATTGTCTGGAAGGCAAAAGCCATATAGCCTGGGGTGTTGAACCCTCATCATGTCCTTATTTTTCCCCCTCAGAGTGCGTCTTCAGCTCTACAGGACAGAGAAGATGGGCTGGGGAGTTCGAGCTCTGCAGGATATTCCACAAGGAAGCTTCATCTGCGAGTAAGAGAGGACTGCGCACATAACGGGTTGCTTTTCATATGAAAAGTCCGAGGTTAGACATTAAGCTTCTGTCTTCCGTCCACACAGATACGTCGGGGAGCTCATCTCTGACGCAGAGGCCGATGTTAGAGAAGACGACTCCTACTTGTTTGACCTGGACAACAAGGTGAAACCTTTTATTTCAAAAAATGAAGTGACTTATTTACTGTATAATACACAACTATTAAAGTAAATAATTAGCCCGAAGTTAACCCATGCAGTCGACAAAAAACCTTCCAATGTTTTAGGTTACAGCTGACTTTCAGGTGACATTTTCGATGGACGGCGCAGTGTTGAAAGAACTCTCTCTCCTTTCTTGACTAACATTTCTAAATGTACTGCACTTATAATTTCAACAGCTATAGATCAATCACCTCCTCAATTTCGAGAGACAAAAAGGACCGTTTCAAAACTTGCCAACCTTTACTTTCCTTTACAATCGTTTTTTAATTGTGTGCCTCAGAGTCAAATTTTCTTTGAAAATGCCAAAAACACAAGACTCATTGATTGATTGGTTGCTCTTTCTCTGTATATTGAGGGAGATTTTATACATATGCAGATTACACATATTGTGAATTTTCCTCCATTAAAATGGTATGTGTGAAGCATTTATAAAAACCTAGGCTGTGGTAGAAAGTCTTTATTTATTATTAAGACAAAAGTAATAAAATTATACAATCGCAAAACTTTTTTTTTTTTTTTTTTGCTGGTGGCTTTGATAAGCTGTATTTGGGCACAATGGGGCTTCAAGCTAAATGCTAACATCAGCATGCGAACAGGCTCACAATGACAATGCTGATGCTACACATTAGCATATTAGCATCGTTATGATCACATCGTTATGCGTTAATGTTTACAATCTTAAGTTTGGGACAAATTGACCAGATGTTGTCACAGCTACCCTGAGGGGGACGTGAATGTCGGTACCATAGAAAAATATTTATTTATTTATATGGTCTGTACTTCATTTCATGGCAATCTATCCAATAGCTTTTGAGACACAAAGTGGTGGGTGACCGGACGACACTGCAATCCATAGAGCCACACTACTAGAATGTCTAAAACAATTAAGAATCACACCGCATCAATGCAACAAGAAAAGGCAGAACAAGTCAAACATAAAGATTGTATTGTCTACCTTTTGATTTATAAAACAATCTATTACTAATGCATTACAATAAATCTGATAGACACACAGATCCCGATATCGAAACACTAACACAATGTTGTTGTTTTTTCAAAGGACGGGGAGGTGTATTGTATTGATGCCCGGTACTATGGCAACATCAGCCGCTTCATCAACCACCTGTGTGACCCAAACCTCATCCCAGTACGTGTGTTCATGCTGCACCAGGACCTGAGATTTCCCCGCATCGCCTTCTTCAGCTCCAGAGACATCCACAGCGGACAGGAGCTGGGGTAAGAAAGTCATTCTTATTGCGAACGTTTTACTTGTCACCAACATATCTGCCTGAAGCCCCATTGGGCCGTAACTGTGATTAAGAACGTTTACCTTTTCTTTTTAATTAGATTTGACTACGGAGACCGCTTTTGGGACATTAAGAGCAAGTATTTCACCTGTCAGTGTGGATCAGAGAAATGCAAGCACTCGGCCGAAGCCATCGCCTTGGAGCAGAACAGACTGGCTCGACTGGAGGCTTTCCCAGAATCGGGAGCTGACTGTGGGATGACCATGCTGGGAAGCTCCTAAAACACTCCCCCAAAGGGGCCTTTGGATTGACCTCATCCATTTCACATGTGCACAATGGAGAAACACCTGGAGGGTTTTTATCATCTTTAAAATTCTGTGTTTGGTGCATGGTGCTGTTTTTGTTTTTTTCTACTTGAAATGTCCTTATTTTTCTCGTTAAAGTTGATCACATACCCTACGGTAAAAGACATGGGCCTAAACAAATGTTTTAAACTGTGTGATTGTGAACATACAGTATGTCTACTGTATATATCGCTGTCTGTCTGTCTCGGCACATGAGCTGTGTGCATTAGAAGTCATGTTACTGTCATACATATCTGTTTTCTGTTGTGCCAACAAACATAATGCCTTTCTGACACAGTACAGCAGTGGGTCAAACCTAAGCCCATACTGGACTCGATAAGGACCTGTGTATATCATTGTTTTTTGGATTATTGTTGGTTTATTTTCGTTATTTTTATACGCATTGTTTTCTTCATCACATTTAGTGTAATAAATTAGCTCATGAGTTGATCTTTGGGCTCTTGTAGTAAGTGTGTCATTTTCTTTTTAGGCTCACAATAGCCTTTGTAGTCCTGTATCCTTACTTTCATCCTATGCAACTTTGTGTGATTATATAATATCATTAGACAGATGTGAGTTCTCATCAAGACTGTGGCCTGTTGGTGGTGGTGTATTATCAGTAGGGGGCATTTACAAGCCACAATGCAAAGCCGGAGAGATGGGGCGGGATGGTGCACTGGGCACAGTCAGAGATGTGAAAAGGAATTAAAAAGGAAGACGTCCCACTCTGCTAATACTTCTAGTAATGAGTCTCTTTGACAGACAGAAATATAGCTTATCTGAAAAACAGTTAGTTGGTCATAAAACGTTCCAATGACTTTCCCAACCAAACGTCTGAGTCATTAAATAGCTGTTTGTCACTTATTCATGTTTTTTCAAGTCTTGAAATCATGACATTTGTTTACCACTCTACATTGTGGATGTATTAGTTGGTTATTACTTTGTGGTAAATTGATGGTGCACAAATAATATACATCCAAAAGCATGATAAACTGAAATGTTAAAGGCGTTAAAACTACATTTTATATCACAGAGCCCCCCTATGGGTTCAGATGATGATGGTGTCACCTTACAGCCCCAATCATTTCACATTATATTGCGTTTTTACGGATGCATACAATGTTACCGAAGACATTTGTGATTAATCAGATTACGACAAACACTACACAGTGAATATGGAGCCCTTGATAAGTCTGTGGCAGTTGTGGAAGAAGTATTTGTATATTTTACTTAAGTAAAAGTAACAATACTACAGTATAACATTCTGTTATGTGGACTAATATCCAAAATCTCACTTATGTGTTTTATTACATTACTAGATTATAGTGATTGATGCATTAATGTGTACATCACTTTGATGTTGCAGCTGGTAAAGCTGGAGCAAATTTTAAATACTTTATATACTGCTGGGTAACAGTATATAAGATATCAAGATGTATTATTTGCTTAATAGTTTGTAATACTAATCTAAATTTACAATGTAGCCTGCTAAAGGTGTAAAAGTACAACCTCAAAAGTAAACTTGTAACCACTGTTATTAGGCAGCCTTGCCCACGAGGAACGTTCTCACCCTCAAGTTTTTACAATCACAACAGAGTGATTCCTCTTTTTTTTAAAAACTACCTTTGATAGCACGCGCAGGTGCGCATCCCTCTGCAGGTGCGCTCGCGTCGTCACTGCCTAGTTACATGTGCCAGGAAGAAAAAGATTTCCAAACTTAGTTACCATGGCCGCTCTGACACGGCGGAGCTCGTTCTAGACGCACTTTTAGCTCTTTGCTCGAACGTTTCCATCAAAACTTTAAGAAAAGGAAGCAGAGTTGTAGAAGTCAAGCAGGAGGTTTGTGTTTAAGGCGGACAATGGGGAAAAAACAGGAGACAAGTCCGGACTCCAAGTATGGTGAGTTGACATCACCTGTTTCCTCAGAGGGTTGGTTCACTGTTAAAACATAATGTCACCTTAGCTAACTCAAGCTAACGTTACAATTATTTGGCTAATATTTTGTCTCATACTGAGTTCCTTCCAAAAATTGTGCTGCAATAAAAAGTGTTTTTGGCTAATAATTGATTTTACCAAATTATTTTCACGACTAACGCCAACGTTTTATTTTGACAATGGATACGTTAGTTTGTTCCTTTTACTCTCGGTCATATTACATTTCACAGGTAATTATCAGCCGATAGTGTTTATAACAGATTTGTCCTCATTAAATCCAGCTACTAGTCAACGTTACAGTCTATGAGAGACCAAAGAGACCAAATTAAATCTTTCCCTCAGGACAAATGTAGGCTTGTCGATGTTTGTGAGTCAGCGCGTGTACCTGAGTGCCAACTTTATCCTCAATAAACATGGTTTAATGGTTTACTAACTACTTATTACATTATGTCTTAATATAGCGTTATAGCTCAGCCAAAACATCCCGGACATCTGATCTACAGAAGAACTGTTTAAGATAAATATGAAGCTTTGAGTTGGCTGCCAAGTAATCTCAGAGGATAAGAATTAAACAAATATTTTATAGTTTTTGTTTTTTTATTGTTTCTTTTGTTTTTCTTATAAAATATTGGATTCTTTCACCTCTTCAGGTCTCTAAAAACCCTTCAAATAACAAACAATAATCACCTTTTGGTTTAGGTTCATTTCTACAGAGGACGACATCAAGCCTGAAACGTGTGACACTTACACATTGATTAATTTTAATGGTCACACGTCAGAAAGGTTTATGAAACACTGCTTTATATTAACCACGCTGTCAAATCAGCACGTTCTTATCAACATTGCTTTGTTGTGGTTAGAATAGTCAGCCAGTAATAAAGACGTTTTTCTTTATTTCAGTTGTGAGTTAATAATCTTATATTCAGGTATCAAACTGGTAGAAATCCCATTTGTTAACCCTGAAAATATAGACAATTGTGAAACTAGAATCTGAGTATTTTTGTTAATTTTGCTTTAAAAAAAACAACTAATTTTATCATTTGATAATTATAAAAGTATTTGCTGAAGATTCATTTTCTGTCATCATTTAATTCATTTATGGTTTCAGCTTTAATACATTTATCTTCCAGCTTCTTTCTCTATGAATTGTTTGATTTATAACAGGTAAGAAATTGGTTAAAAATGCCCATCACAAGGTGACATTTTGAAATAGTTTGTCCGAAAGCCACAGATTTACAATTTACAATCATTTAAAACGAGGAGGGAATCCTCTTATTCTTGCTTGAAAATGACATAAATTCATATTTGATAACCACAATACTTGCATAATTGTTCTTCTGTCGAACTAATTGTGTCAGCTCTGATACAGCTCATGCAGCCTCAGCAGACTGTTTGAATGGCTGCTGTGTTGTGATGTAAACAAACTGAAAGAGAACTACAGTATCATAAAACACACAGAAGAGAAAGTTGAATCCGCTGAAATATTTCCAAAAAAATATGTCAAAGCTGTCTTGTCATGTGCACAGCAGATTGATGTTTATCCGGGTCCTGTTTACTCTTTGTGGTTTTTTATATATCGAGAAAGTCACGCGTCTGTTGACACTCTGGGAGGTTTGTCAAAGACCTCAGTAAACAAACCCGCCCTGAAGGTAAATATGTGATTTCACATCTCTTCAAACAGCTCATGCAAACATCAGAATACGCGATGACAACAGAAGTGTCTGACAGTCCACTGATCACGGTGACAGCCTCTGTTAACAACAAAGAAAAGCCTGAACTCGTCACCATTTCTAATCGTTAATCCACTTCCTGCTAGTTCCTGTCCTAGCAGCCTGCACGAAGAAGTAGAAATCCTTCTGTTGAACACAGCAAGGCTTTCTAATTCAGACCGCCTGTTGTTGCCAAATCAAGTGAGGCCCTTTATATTGTAGAACATGTCTGCGTTTTGGTTCTTGTTTGGAGCAGTTACACATTTCAACCTGCTTTCCTGTTGAAGATGTGCAGACACTCGGTGTTGAGAAATCAGTGACTTGTGACAGTTTGTTGCTGCAAATCATTGACCAGAATGTCTGTTAAAGCTGCTCGAGGCGACAAGGGGGAAAGATTTAACAGACAGCTGCAGATTCAGCAAATCTCTCCATTAGAGCTCAAACAATGAATGAGTATTTGGTGACTGATTGGTTGTTAACAACTAAGTGTCATTTGTCAAGCAAACTTCACAAACGTGAGGAATTAACGCTTTTCTGTGTCATACAGTAAACTGAATATGGTTGGAATTTGCATTTTTACTTTGTCTTGATCTATAATGCAAATAACTCTGTTTTCTCTTTGAATGTTTCTAATGATGAGAACTCCTTTCTGCTGTTGTCATGGCTTTGACTTGTTCAACCATAGAAGTATTCAAAAGCCACATAAAACCTTTGACAATCAAATCAATCACGCTTTTAAATGCATACATCCCTTCCCCTCATATTCTACACTCTTTTTATGTAACGAAGAACTTTTTCTACCTTTCTTTCCCCCGGGGTTAGTCTTGTGTATACTGCAGGTTACCAATTAACCTGGTGGTTTGTGTAATAAACCACATGTTACAATATTATTACATTCGTCTATTTGTTGCCCCAAATGATGAATGTTTTGAGTCACTGTTGATTCACCAACTTGTACAAAGTAAAATAAGGGACCGAGGTCCAGTGATGGTCCTCTTGCGTATCGTCTTACGGTCGCCCCGCCTGAGATTCAAGGTCTAAAGGTTTAAAGCTCTCCTCCAGCTTTTTACGAGGGCATGAAAGATGAAATGTCCTTTTTTTAACTGTGTGACACAGAGTCCCGCTGAGCCCTTTTCCATGTTCTCTCCTTTACTCCAGACACACAGCAGCGTCCTAGCAGAGCTGAAATCTGATACTCGCAGCACCACAAGAGGCCGATGAACAGGTTTCTTTGTTGAGAAGATTTGATCACTGCCCAGAGTCATTTCGCTCATATCCCACGCATGAGGTGTTTAGGAAGCAGCACAGAGGCGTCGATGTTTATAGAGATGTGTAGTCTGTCAAATTCAAGGGCCTTTGTGTGGCTGTCTATTGGCCTACACTTGTTGTTTACATAAGATCCATATCAGGTATTACTGTTTGGTTTGAAGAGAGAACTTTTTATCTAAGACGTGGAATTATTGCTCACTCTACCACTGCTCCGTGGAAGTGTTTTTGTATTTACCTGGCCTCAGTGTCAAAGTTTATTAAAGCCCTACTGTGAATGTGTGTTCAGGCGACTGAGAAGCTTCAAACTTACTGCATCCTGTTTGTATATTTGCATCCTACTCAGCAGTCCTGATGCCAGAGTGTGCTGGCTGTGTTTAAGTTTCAGTCAGTGGAGATCATTTAGCTACTCAGATTAATGATCACAGGGAGCTGCCTCGCTAAACGTCCGTCCCTGCAGACCAATCAAATTATGCAAGCACGTCAGTATTTTGCATGTATCAGATGGGAATCCAACACTTAACCAAATTAGCACCTGCACACTTTTTTTTACCACGTCGTACGTTCGGGCTCTTTGTCACAACATTTCAACACTTTTAGCTTTCTATTAGTGTTGGAGCACAGGAATGCAGATTCCCCTGTGATGTCTTCTTGTGATCACATACTCCAAGTAGTCTGTTGTGTTTTCCCTGCCAGACTGGATAATGCAACAGAGGCTAACTGAGGCTGTATTTATAGGAATGTTTTCTAGCTGGGGATCTCCTCAAACAAGTTTTTCCGATTGTCAAACCCATTAAAATGATTTAAACGTCTTGTCACGCTCCCTCCTCCAAAAGCCAAGACTTTGAATTCAAATGATATTAAAATAAGCCGGAGCTGCTTGTGCCGATGCATGTGCCTGAACTCCGATCCTTTCCTCTGTATACACTCTCAGCACACGAAGGAACCAACGGGAACAAGCTTCTCTTTAGTTCACATGCAAAGCAGCTTGTTTGTTCTGCTCTCTCTGTTCCAGGAAATAACAATAAGACATGTATTTCCTGTAATAGCTGCACCTCTGTTCTGCTCATTTAATTGTAAAGCTGTGAGTAACCAACCCATAAAAATATAAGATTCTGTCTCTCGTCTCGAAAAGTACTTCCTCGTTCACTCGCTGCGTAATTCATTGGCTCTTAAGAAGATGACTAAAGTGAGCGCTGGACACAAATGAACCCAATCACTTTTTGAACGCACACTAACTTCCCCATATCTCCGTAGGTGCAGCACTCAAGGTTTAATCAGCAGGGCATTTCCTTGAGGGGGAATTGCAGTTGAAGTGACGTTATAAAAGCGAGCAAAACTAATGTTTAATAATCTATCTGAAACCAAACACAGAAGTTGCCGATTACGCCGGTGATTCATTTGCTTTGAGTTAAAAGCGACCCGATGTTGTTTTCTTTTCCCAGGAGAACCGGCTCAGTTTGACCCAATGTTCAATGGACCCATGAAGAAAAGGTGAATCCGTCCCATTTCCCAAACTAACTCCCTATAATCCCTCAAAATGTCTGTGTTTGCAGAGCTTCTGTTGACTGATAGAATACACATATTTCACCCCCGAGGCAAACGTCGAAGCAAAGCTCGGCCTGCTAACTTGAACCTGTTGCCGTCTCTCTTTCCTTCCTCAGAGGATGCACCGATATCATCTGCTGCGTCCTGTTCATGGCGGTCCTCCTCGGCTACATAGCGGTGGGGATTTTAGGTGAGAGTAACCTGACAACAACCAACACAGGCCTTTGTGTCCGCCCCAGACAATCAGTCATTGATTTCCAACACCTCCTCTCTGGGCTATTCCAATTGTTCAAGGAACAGGTCAGCGTTTTTTTTGGGAAATGCGTTAGTTCGCGTTCCTTGCTGAGAGCTATATGAGAAGAGATCTCTCGTGTATATCCGTTGTACTGTATATGAAATGTAAGTTCAACACCAAAATTGGGGAACAGGAGAAAACAGGAGAAAACAGCTAGCCAACGAAATTCCCCGACCAGCTCCTCCAAAGCTCACCGATGAAAACATTTGATCTAGTTTGGTTAATAGATACAAAAACTGAAGTGTAAAGGCGACAGTTTGTGGTTTTACCACGGTGACTTCCTGGATTCATGTAGATCCTAACCAGCGAAGTAACAACACTGTTACAACCGTCAAAGTTTCAAAACTCGGTTGCTCCATTGAAACCTCAGAAACTGACTGTGTGTGTGTGTCTCTTTGAACTCACTCTAAGCTAATTTGATCCCTCCATTGGATGCTTGTCTCAAAGGGTTTTGATTATATTAACTGTTTTTGTGCTGCATCTCCAGCACTCCACAGTTGGGCCAGAGCTAACACCATGCTTCTGGTGTTTATCAATGAATTCATCTATTGTAATTCTCACTACCTATACGTTTATATGTGGAGTATTATTATCACTTAACAGCTGATTTCCATGTGAACATCCAGTCAGCTGCTTTTTTTATTGCCCTGTCATCAAACTCATTCCAGCACTCAGGGCCCTCTCTCTTATCTCGAGTCAACACAACCCAATAAGCAATATGTGTGTCAGTGGCTGAGTGCGTCACAAATACTCCGTTATTTCAATGGAGGCCGTTCAGAAGCATTAGTTAGACAAGTTTAATTTGCTGTAAGTAGTAGGAAACAATACAAGCACATTTACATGATACATTGTTTTCATCTGGCAGATGCTTTTGTCTATTACGACTTACAGTAAGTCTGATCAAACCAAACTTCGGAGGACCAAGAGAGATGTTAGTCAGCACTTTAAAGTGCGTCCTGTCAGGCTTGTGTATCACTAGTGAAAAAAAACCTTTATATGTCCGCTCAACACTCATTCATCTCATTCAGAATTTACATTCTAGCAAATTCATCAGTGTAGTGATTTCCGTCGCTGCCTCTTGGCCAGATCGCAGTGCCGAACAGAAAATGGACATAAAGGAGGGTTATTAACTTGATATGATCTTTTCTTTGTGTGTGTGTGTGTGTGTGTGTGTGTGTTTTCTATTAGCTTGGCTCTTTGGAGATCCAAGACATGTTCTTTATCCAACAAACTCCACTGGATGGTTCTGTGGCATTGGACCAAATGAGTAATTCTATATTTTGCCTTTTCATATCATGTTTTACATGTACAACGTATAATGAATATGCATTTCAAAATCAACTCTTTCTTCCTGCCTTCTCTCCCTCAGAGGCCGACCCAACCTGTTCTACTTGGACATTCTCAAATGCGCCACATCTGTTAACGTTATGGCAACTGCCCTTAACGGTTTCCAGTGTCCAACCACACAGGTAGAAAAGACTACTTGATTTTTGTTGTTTCTAATTATACGGGACTGGTAACCGTACTTTTCTCAGTGTCCCATAAATAATCATCTTTTTCCGTCACTTATAGGTGTGCGTGGCTGACTGTCCCACTGAGTTTTGGGCTGTGGAAATACCGTCATATTTTCCCGACGTAAAACCAACAGACGTTTTCAATCAAAGCCTCTGTGTGCCATCCATAGACCTGGCAAATACTGAAAAGGTAAATTCCCATGATCAGAATCACAATCAGAACCGTTTATTGCCAAGTACGTTACACATACAAGGAATTTGACTTGGTGAATGGTGCATAACAGTAAACAACGAGCACAGTGCAATAATCAAGACATAATTTAAAAATATGGTAGACAAACAAACAGATAACAGTACTTTAAAACAAGTATATTGTAAAAGTGGCAAGTGTATTTAAATATAGAAACATAGAAAGGATACGCAAGGTGTAACGGTAGGAAATTGTCCCGGGGATGTCAGAGTCAGAGTCAGTGGGGTCCCAGGCTTAGTTTATGAACCCAACTGCAGAAGGGAAGAAACTGTTCATGTGGCGTGAGGTCTTGGTCCTGATGGGCCGCAGCCTCCTGCCAGGTATGGGGCTCCAACAGTTCATGTCCAGGGTGAGAGGGGTCGGCTACAATCCTTCTTGCCCGCTTCAGGGTCCTTGAAGCGAACAAGTGTTGGAGGGACGGCAGATTGCAGCCAATCACCCTCTCAGCAGAGCGAATGATGCGCTGCAGTCTGCCCTTATCCTTGGCAGTGGCTGCAGCGTACCAGACCGTGATGGATGAGCAGAGGATGGACTCAAAGATGGCAGTCTAGAAGTGCACCAACATTGTCTTTGGCAGGTTAAATTTCTTCAGCTGCCTCAGGAAGTACATCCTCTGCTGGGCCTTCTTGGTGATGGAGCTGATGTTAGGCTCCCACTTGAGGTCCTGGGTTATGATGGAGCCTAGGAAGCGGCAGGACTCCACAGCGTCGACGGGGGAGTCACACAGGGTGATGGGGGCTGGTGAGGCTGCGTTCTTGCAGAAATCCATAACTCTCTCTGCTGTCTTTAGAGCGTTGAGCTCTAACTTATTCAGATTTAACCAGATGGTCAATCTCCCACCCTCATTGGACTCATCTCCACCAGAGATGAGTCCAATGAGGGTGGTGTCATCCGCAAACTTCAGGAGCTTGACGGACTGGTGACTGGAGGTGCAGCTGTTGGTGTACAGGGAGAAGAGCAGAGGGGAGGAGCCTTGGGCTGGAACCGGTGCTGATGGTCCGAGAGGCTGAGACATGTTTTCCCAGCTTCACACGCTGCTTCCTGTAAGACAGGAAGTCTGTGATCCACTTGCAGGTGGAGACAGGCACGTGCAGCTGAGAGAGAGTGATGGGTGGTACAGAGGCATGGGCTCTACTGAGCTGGGGGAGGGGGACCTGGTGGTCTGGAGCTGGTGGATGGGGCCATGGGGGATGGGGGCATCGCTGTCCCACTGTCCATCAAAGCGACAGTAGAACTGGTTCAGCTCGTTTGCTAGGCGGAGGTCGTTCATGGAGTGGGGGGGCTTTAGGCTTGTAGTTGTTTATCTGCCTGACACCTCTCCAGACAGAAGCAGAGTCACCTGTCGTTTAGCGTCTCTCGCCGCCTCGCTAAACCTGTATTTTGTTGTTACCATGTGTAAACTTTGTGCGTCTCCCTAAAAATTTGTTTTGATTTCTCATACTAAAGGAAATATTTTTTTGTTTTATGAAAGATTGCCTGCATTATAATCAGCAAAAGTAACCTGACACTTTGATCCATTCATGTCGTGTTAATGTTTTTTTCAGACTGTTAAAGAGATTGTGGACAACGAGCTGTGTCCTTTCTTCTACATGCCCACCATCTCTGGTGAGTGAAAGCGCTCCTACACTCTACATCATATTCATATTCATTTGTGTCTGATGATTTGCTGTAAAGGCCGGTCATGAGTTAAATGCAGCTGCTTGTTTAATATTAGGGTTTAACTGCTCATGTGCGAGAACTACACTGTTATGTTTTGTTTACTTCCAAGGATAATAAATGGACGATGGTTTGTTATCTTCAGTATCTTAGAGATTTTGTAATAAAGTGTAATTCAACGCGTTTCAAGCTGATTTCATTTTCTCTACCGTCAGTGCTGGGGCGGTGTTTGCCCGACATCTCGGCACTGGAGAGGATCCCTTCAGCCTTTTCCGAAATTCCCGGATTACCCTCAGTCAACGACACAGTCGACCTAATCAAGAACGGCACTGGGTGAGATATCGTGGATGCCTGGCCTCAAAATGACTCTCAATTACAGCACCCGCTCTTGAATCAAAGACAACTGCACACACACACACACACACACACACACACACACACACACACACACACACTCTTTAATAACCCTGTTTCTTTCTCCTCCTCCTCATCACCAGCACAGGGTCAGTGGCTCCGTGAGTTTCTGTGTTGAGCTGTAGAGTAGCAGCTGGTAGTAGTTGCTCTTGTTGCCTTAGAGGCCATGTAAAACTCTCTCTTGGGACTTGCAGAAAAACTCTTTCTAGCGCTGTCTTTTTTAGCCTGTCGTTACCACTTCATTGCACCCCACTAGCCTTTACCACTACATTGCTTGTGTTTCTTCCAACAGGCGCTTTAGAGATGCATTGAAGCTTTTTTTCATCGTTTGTTTGTTTATAAACACATTTTGTCAGTTTTTCCGAGAACCGTCCCTAACGCAGCTCGTCCTTGTTTTTGTCTTCAACAGGGACATCGTGAATGGCTTCAATGCCAGGGACATTGGCATCCGCATCTTTGAGGACTTTGCGTCGGCATGGCCGTGGATTCTCCTGTGAGTTGCCTTGACGAACTACACCACACACACACACACACACACACACACACACACACACACACACACACTGCCACCTATTGGCTGACATACAGATAGAAATTACTCTTAAGATTAATTGGAACTTTTGGTCTTACAATTTGATCATTTATGCATTGACCTCTTCATCCTTTTGATATTTCACCTTGTTTGTTTTCTTACTCCATGACTGTTTCATCTCCCCTCTCAGCGGTCTGCTCATAGCCATGGTGGTCAGTATGCTGTTCCTGTTGCTGTTGAGGTTCACGGCTCCAGTGATGGTGTGGGTGCTCATCATAGGAGTCCTGGGTGCGGGGGCATATGGTAAACACTCACCCGGAGCAGTTTATTTGTTTTGTCAAGATTAGATGTTAGATTAGACGAAATTAGCCTCTGAGTTGTTGGTGTGTTTCTCTCGCAGGTATATGGCACTGCTACTGGGAATATGATAACCACAAGCAAGCCTCTACTACCATCAGTGACATTGGCTTCACCACCAATTTCAACGTTTACTTGCAAGTCCAAGAGACCTGGCTGGCCTTCTGTGAGTCACAAGCATCGCACATCTTTTCTCAAAACGTGGAGACAGTCTCGTCTTTTTACTTTAGTTTTTAGGGGCAATAGGTTTGTGCTGCTGGATACAAAGATCAGAACAACGAAGAAGAAAAAGATGTCTGTATACTAGTAATTAAAGCTCCCTTGTATAAATATACTGTATTGTCCATGTTTTGATGTTTTGACACAACAGAGGAAATGAGAGGTATAAAAGGGAGATAACCAATGACACCATAAATACTGAATCTTATCCACATCCAAAAATAAATGCAATAAAACCATTGTTGGTATACGCACGAGTCACATGTCCCGTTAATAACCAGTTGATTCATGACATTGTGTAATGCGTCTGATAAATGACAACACTGATGTAAGGGTTATAGTAGTTCATGTTGGATATTTGTTAATGTTAAACAGCAGTTTTTCTCTCCACCCCCCAGTGATAATCATATCTGTGGGGGAGGGGATCATTCTCCTGACCATCATCTTCTTGCGGACAAGAATCCTCATCGCCATCGCCCTAATCCAGGAGTCCAGCAAGTGAGTCCTGATGCCACACGTTACATCTCATTTATGACACACTTAACACAACCCATGTGCTACTCTTAAAGGGGATTTATTTGCAGCCTTATCTGCTCCATGTTTCATTTATTGTTATCATCATTTTGTATCTTTCCGTGAAGAGAAAGGCCTTGGCATAACCTTGTAGTGTGTGTGTTCATATCCAACAGGGCAATCAGTCACATGATGTCCTCTCTGCTGTACCCTTTGGTCACCTTTGTTCTCCTGCTGGTGTGTGTCGCTTACTGGAGCGCCACCGCTTTGTATCCTTTAAGTTTTAGACTATAGTTTAAATGTTTCTGAGATGACTCTGTGTGTGTATTGTTTTTACTTTGCAATCACTTCTACCGTCCAGAGAAAATGTTCTTGGCTTAAACTGATGAACGTAGATATTTGGCCACCTCAGGAGGCCCGATCTACAAAGTGGTGGCTCTAAACTCCACTCTTGACGACTGTAAGAGTATCAATGGCACTGTGAACTGTGACCCTCAGGTGAGTGGGCAGGATGGGAACTCAGTGTGGGTGAACATTGTGACCTACAGTGAAAACTTCTCTCAAATGTTCAATCTGGTTGAATAAGCCAGTAGAAGGAATTGGCTGTCAGCTGTCAAATCACCAGTTACACAACTGTGATGTACCAATATAAAAATGATTGTCTGTCATCCTACTGTTGATGCCCTCACACACCTCTCGCCTACTTCCCCCTCTCACTCTCCCGTCTCAGAACTTCAACTCGTCTGACTACCCAGGCTGCCCCTCAGCCAGCTGCATCTTCATCAAATACAACGAGGAGGGTCTCTTCCAGAGGAACCTCTTCAACCTGCAGATCTACAACGCGGTGGCCTTCCTCTGGTGTGTCAACTTCGTCATCGCCTTGGGGCAGTGCACGCTGGCGGGGGCCTTCGCCTCCTACTACTGGGCCTTCACCAAACCGGATGACATCCCCACCTTTCCCCTGAGTGCCAGCTTCATACGCTCGCTCAGGTAGGCTAATGAGCTGCTGTGTCATTGGTTCAAAGAATAAATGTGTCCATCTCTTTCAAAAGTGTCCAAAAAACTGAATGCCTGCATTCCCAAAGGGAGCCGTTTCTGGATCTTTGTCATCCACTCTGGCTTCTAGAGGACGCATTAGACCTGCACATAACAGTTTTGGGGAAGCAGACCTCAGCCAGACAGTCAGACATTTTGGTTTTGTACATTTCAGGTACCATGTGGGCTCCTTGGCATTCGGTGCTTTGATCCTGACCCTAGTGCAGATAGCGAGGATGATTCTGGAGTACATAGACCACAAAACAAGAGGTAAGACTGACCTACTCTCATCTCGTCTTCACTTTCTGCGTTACTTTAACGAATACTGAACACGTTCTCACTGCTTGGTTTGTTTTTGTGCTTTAGTTTAAATAAGTCTTAATAATGGCAACGGATCAAAGTGCACTTTATTCAGAGCAACTTTTAGTCTTAATGGTATTAATATATAAATCCCGTGACATATTTCAGTGATTGACGTGTGTGCCACACGTTGTTGGGCTCGTTAACATGTTTTGGTGGTCTGTCTCCAGCGGCGCAGAATCCATGTGCACGTTTCATATTGTGCTGCATGAAGTGCTGCCTCTGGTGTCTGGAGAAGTTCATCAAGTTCCTCAACAGGAACGCGTACATCATGGTAAGCACAACATGTCATTGGACAGCTGTTGGTCCCTCCCATTTGAATTGTTATTGTTGTTGTGTAGCTATTTGTGTAGCTTAGAACTATCAAATGGAAAACAAACATGCTTTGCAAAAAAATGATTTGATTTTGTTTTCTCGACAGATTGCTATTTATGGGAAGAACTTCTGCGTCTCAGCCAGAAATGCTTTCATGCTGCTCATGAGAAATATCGTGAGGTTTGTGGTGAAGTCTTGTTTCCTACTAAAGGGATTACAGTCCGTGTTGTCAATGCTAGCTGGCTACATTTCGTCTGACCTGTTCATCACATGAAGGTATTTGTGTTTGTCCCCTCAGGGTCGTGGTGCTCGATAAAGTGACAGACCTGCTGTTGTTCTTTGGGAAGCTCCTGGTGGTCGCAGGAGTGGGTAAGGAATACAAACTAAGACAAATAAATGAATAAAGATGTGTTCAGGGAAGACAAGAGACTCTGACATCTCAATCTCGTTCCAGGCGTGTTGTCCTTCTTCTTCTTCTCTGGGAGAATACTGCTACCAGGCAACACCTTCCGCTCCGAAACCCTCAACTACTACTGGATGCCAATTATTGTAAGTTACAAATGATTCTTCTCCATTTTTGAAAGTAATCAAAGTTTGCTCTTAGTCTTATCTCTTTTTGTTGCCTTGTTTCTTCTTCTCTGTAGACGGTGGTGTTTGGTAGCTACCTCATAGCTCATGGATTCTTCAGTGTGTACAACATGTGTGTCGATACACTCTTCCTCTGCTTCTGTGAGTTCACCGAGTGTTTATAAAAGCACGGCCCATTCACGTTATCGACACAGAAATACGACCAACATGAGGAGATTTTTGAACACGCAAATATTCTCAAATAATGTTTAGTTAACAGCGTTAAGACACTAAACACTTAACTTGGATCATTTTTTAAAGAAATGATACAACAATGCAAGAAGCACACATGGTGTGTTTCACCACTTCACTCAATTTGTCTCCCCCTCTCTCAGTGGAGGACCTGGAGCGCAACGATGGATCTCTGCAGAAGCCGTACTTCATGTCCAAAAACCTCATGAAGATCCTCAACAAATCCAACAAAGCTCCAAAAAAGGGTAAAGGGAAGGACTGAAGATCGTTTTCACCTTTTAACACTCCATTGTTTTCCAAATAAGTTGACCAAAACTAATTTGCTGATTTTGCACTTTTTAAATCTTGTTTTATTGTGTATGTGCGTGTAGTATTAATGACTGTACACATTAAAGAGAATGAATGTGAATGCAGGGGATGTGACATCTTAAGTTGCTCAGTATCTTCACATGACTTATTTCATTTGGCTTTTTATTTCACTGAAGGTCCTAAAATAATTCTTGTTATTTTAAATAATATTTGTTTGTGTTCATTTGATTTTGGACATTTTTGAGGGATTGATCATGTGTCAGTTAATCCAGTTTAAAGGCCTTTAAAGCAGGTGAGACCGTTTCTGTTCCGTTGGCTGAGATTCTTCAGATGGAACACAAAGAAAATGCAACGATTACAAAAAAAAAGTTCTTATACATCATATAAGTTTGTATATAAATAAAGATTTTATAAATACAAAACATTTGTATTACCACAATATTGATGATATCGCTACACTTGAACCCTTCATGTTTCTCATCCTTAGTCTCCAGTTCATGTAAACAGACATTTTGGTTGATATCATTTTCTAATCTTTGCTTTTCTATCTATTAGATTATCCATATCAAAACAAAAGCAAGTCAACAGTGATTTTATCTTTTAAAACCTCCAGTAACTGAAAGGAAGATGAAAGATTCTGACTTTTTGTTCTGTAGGTTAAATGAACCGATGACAAGTCTTTTGATAATATTAAAATGCAGAAAGTGACGACAGAAAACAAGTCAGCGTTTTAATGAAGTTTTAATCTCCTACATCATTTGGTTTTGCACAGTGGCTCCAGATTTAGTCTGTCCAATCACGACTTCCATCCCTTGTTTTAGTGTCACATACGATTTATAATACAAAGTGTAGCTTGAACGGACAAGTATGCAAGAAATGATAAGCTCCAGCAGCCATGCTGTCCATCCCACAGAGGACCGTCACCTCTCACCCCGGTGTGACCCAAACACCCGATTCAATACCTCTAGTTCAGCGGAATTCTGATTTTACACATCAAAGTTGTGTTTACAGGTGTTTGAGTACTACTGTAGTCGTATGAAGCCTTCTGTTGCTCCAGAAAGGTGTGCAAAAATCGGATAAATGTCCTTGTTGTTTGGGGGCTGAAAAGTTTGAAACTGAAACAAATCTGCGTTAGAAAGCAGTGTAAGAAGCACTTGCTGCTGGTTTACTTGTCAAATATCCACATGAACTTGTGTCACTTTAGTTTTTAAGTCGCTCAACTGCTTCAAAAAGTTTGTGCAGTAAAAAAGGGACACTGCACTGCACACCATGGCACTCAGGAGAGAGCAAACATCCTCATATCAAATCACATCAGCAGGGAAGGACAAACTTTGCGCTCATAACATTCATTTATCTAAACGGGAGAGGTCGGCAGACGTTATTCGTTTGGGCCGCGAGCCTTTTGAGTCCAAAGGAAGGAATTAGTGAAAAACCAGGAATAAGATCATTTCTCGCTTTACAAAAGCATCCCGAGGCCTATTTGATCATCGTCCTCCATCGCCCTCTCTGTGGCTAGCCGTCCACTCAGAAAACACGTCAAAACAGCTTTTACAATATTCATATATACAAATATATATAATGTTTACACACTCACTCGGACACACAGACGCATACAGTCGGGAAAAAAAAACAACAAAAAACACAAATCAACTGTGACAAAAGTTCATTTCTGTAAATTCTCCGTGTGCCGACCTTTTCCCCTCCACGACTAACTGAAAGGATTCTCCTCACTCGTTACACCGCGTGTGTAGCATTTCATCGAACTACTTTATTTGCCAGAACTTCTCTCTTGACAGTTTACTCTGAAATTACCAAACTGTGTGTGTGTGTGTGTGTGTGTGTGTCAGATTGCCTTTTACTCTCGAGTTGCTCGTGTCGACGCGAAAATCTCCCAAACGGGCCCTTTAACGGTTCACCCGTCCATGTTCGTACAGCTTTGTGAGGAAAGACGCAGCAAGTGGTTGAACACCAGCACGCGCATCCATCTTAAGGACAGCTCCGTCTACAAATGACTTCACAGTGCGATGGCAGGTTTTGTTAAGACATGTATATAAAAAAATGCATCTGCCTGTTCCGTTTCTATCCGTCAAAGTCGCACATTCTGGGACTACTTGTTCAATTCAGGACGAAACTGTAAAACGGGAACATCATGCGATAACATTTTTCACCTCCCCGCCGAAAATCGTACACGACTGATCCGCTACTCTTTGGCCTTTGAGGGTAAGGTAAAGTTGATATAGCAACAACTATGTTATCATACACCCCCTCTGCTTCCCTCTCTCTATTGAAGGAATAAACCTTTAAGAGGAATGTGAAAAACCAAAAGAGAATTAGTCACTGCCCCGAGTTATCCTCCACCCACCTCTTTAAAAAGAAAAACGAAGTCCTCTACGTAGGTCACCCCGATCGCTTAATACTGTCTCTCAACCCCAACAGTTAGTTTTCTGTGTGCATACATCTACAGGTGCCAACATGACTTATTTGGGGATTCACGCACCACTACTCACCAGGGTTTCTTGCATAAACAAAAATCAACGAAGCAGGTGGGCGGGGCTAAGAATCCTAAAGAGAATCTGCCTTTGCCAGGAGGAGATATCCAAATATTAGTTTATGTAATATATATACACTATATATATATATATCCTTGTTTTGGGATCAAACACAATGCTACGCTCTCTCCCAAGTTAGTACCTGCTAGGAAATGTAAAACGAGTGTGTGTCTGTGGCTTGAGTTTAGTGTGCGAGAGGGCTTCTAAATTTATTTGTTGTTTTTTTTGCGCTCCTCGATCCACTCGTCCGTCCCTCCCGTCGGGGTCTCCGTCACACGCTCAGGAGCCAGAAGAAGAAGAAGATGGCCACGAACAGGAAGAGGGAGTCTTGCCAGTTGTTACTGCCGTTGTTGAGGTTACTGTTGCCTTGGTGATCACCTGCATACTGGTCTGACATGGAGGGAGAGACGGGGGGGAAAGGTTATCACACCGGTGATGGTGCATTTACATCTGCACTCTAATCGTGTCGCCTGAAGGCAACAGATGTGTTTAGAAGGAGCTTTTTACCAGATCACAGGGTTCATGCGGCGCTCACCTAATTAAATTTGGTCATTAAGTATTAGACTTTATTGACATTTATACGATGGCCATGATTCAGCTTCAGTAGGAGACCCTCGTGTAATCGCCTTAACTGGTCATCAGCCAATCAGACCGTTGGGATTGATTTTAACCCTGGAAAGAAAGATGTTTGCTCATATAACCAGAGGGAAAACAACGCGTCTTTGTGCGTTTACCTGCTCTGTGAAAGGGGTCGTTGGCGTTGAAGACTGTGGTGAAGAAGCCGAAGGGGAAGGCGCCGATGCCAAAGGACATGTGAAAGCCGGTGTCCCCGAAACCCTGAAACATCTGAGAGGGAAAAAAAACAGATCAAGTTTGAAAAACAGGACAAACAAAAAAAAGAGAAGATTGTAAATATGAGCTTAAATCAGCGGATGTGAACCGACTCACCCCGCCTCGACCTTCTGGCTCCGTCCTCTGTCCCGGAGGCCGAGGTGGAGTTTTCAACCTGAACAACCACAGACATGTCGATAATCATGAGGCAACTGTGAGGCTGTAACAGAAAATCCTGTTCACTCAGAGGCAAAGCTTTGTGTACCTGGGGTCCTCCTGGCTGGAGCTCCCTCTGCCGTACAGTGGGATGACTTTCTCTCTGCTGATGCCCGCTTTACACACAGGACACTGCTGCCTGCTGGGCCGCGTCTCCAACCACTGAGAGGAGCAACAGAGGAAGAAAAGCGTCAAACAAAATCAGATGAACCCCCGTTTCTACTGTCTAAATACTGGGTTCACTTCAAACTTCAAGAGATTAACAGCGAGTAAATTTCCACGCATTGGTTGCAATCATTTTTTTAATCCCCACTTTGAATATGTGTGGTGCTCACGCTGCTACACCGAGAGCAACGTACAGTGTGGTGGAGAGAAAGCTGCAGTAAACGGAGGCGTTAAGTGCATAAGCGAGCTTAATCTGCACTAAGTCAACCGACAGGTGTAGTTTCCACGCTGAGGTTACGTCACAAACGCATGCTGCAGTTAAAAGGCCCTATCCAGCCAACTGCGTGTTTTCACGTAGTGTGTCTGATCAGAGATCTCCTCTCAGGAGTGTGTGGTCAGGTACAGAACTGTATTGTATTGATCAGTCTTGAATTGTGGAAGTGGATGAGGTGGGGTTAATATTGAGCTGATGCCATGGAGTTATTGTCATTATCGGTTAATCCACCGATCACTTTTTAATTAATCTTTTAAAAGACATCAGAAAACAGTCAAATGCTCATCAATTTCCCACAACCATGATGTCTTCTAACAAGTTATTTCTGGTCCTGCAATTAACTAAAGCAGAGAGTGGCATATTCAAAAATTTTACCGACCAACAAAAACACAGTGGACAAAAAAAAATATCCTTACATTTGAGAATCTGGAAACAATACATTTCAGTGAGCCAAAGGTTTATTGATCAACAGAATAACTTCAAGCTGAGTAGAAGCCTAATCAGTCGGAGTATTGAAAACACCTGTGAGGCTATTTAACAAGTATCATTTAAGAAGGGTGACATAACAGAGGAAATACTCACTTGGTGAAGACAGGGCCAGCTGTAGAGACAGAGACAAACAAAAGATTAATGTGCATTCTCACAATAGAGCCTTTCTCTCATCTTTTCTTAAACCGTAAAGTCTGTTTTTGGGAACTCTTAGTGCGGTGAAACTGGTCCGATTATCCTGCGGAAGCCCAGCTGGCCAGAACCACCTGTCTCTAACGAGGTGGCTGATTGAACTCGCAACTCATATTATGCAGCGGAACAGGCCGGACTTGTTTTGAACACGTTGTAGTACGTCACAACTACAGAACATTCAAAAACTAATTGCTTCAAACAAACCATGAAGCTAAAAAAAAACTGCCAATCTGCCAGCTTTACACACACACACACACACACACACACACACACACACACACACACACAAATATTGTAAACTGTGTGTGTGTGTAACGCCGGCTACCAGATCGCAGCTGAGAATGGCATTCCTGTGTCTACAAACCGTTAAACAAAGTTGACATAACAACCCATTCAACTGTGATTTGACATGTGGCCACACGCACAGCCGAGCTCCTGTGACCTGAAAATGACAGCTTAGTTTCCAATAAGAGGCTCAACATCCATTCAGTGAAGCCCGACTGCAGACTCCATTACGTGAGCCATTAAAGTCTCATTTTCATAACATAACATTAAAATAAGAACTACTCCAGCTACTCCCCTCTGATCTTAATCGTGCGTTTACAGACAGACTGCAGTAATGTTTCCGTACACAATGCCGTGCGGCCGTTTTAGGCAAAACAGACTTATTTGAAATGTTAGCAGCAGCAACGGAGGAGTCCGGCTGCATGCAACTACTGTCCTACATTTTGGGCTGCAGTTTACAATTCCTAATCCCAAATTAATATTTTATCAATTAGAAAAAAAACTTTGCTTAAACATGACAGAGGGCGATTATTGGGATCTCAACCTCTGTTTCACTTTTTTAGACTTTTGTGCTAACTTTAGGCTATTTGAGCATTTTTTAGGCAAAAGCAGTTGTTTTGCTGCGGCTGAACTAGTGGAGCAATGCAACCTGCATTGCTTTGGTCCAAAGCAATACATGGTGTCAAAGTTGGATACAAGCTGAACAGATGGATGTTTAGGCGTTTACACACTGAGCTCATCACCAATACTGAACGTAGGCGATGTGACAGACTGATTTATAGTTAAAGATTCAAATGTAAATAAAGACAATTTATCTGACATTCAGAAGCAATGTTGAGCTGAAGTTGCAGCAGGTGATCCGACGTCGACGCCTTGCTTCCTTGCCGATAGTTTCATCACAGTTTCATCAGAAGATGAGAGAGACGAGTAACATGGCAACTAAGTTACATCAGCTCCCCGAACACCGGAGCTTCAACGCCACCGCACATGTAACTGTGAGGGGAAGTTCTGTGATCGAATATCAAAGAAACGAACGCTAAACATTATCAGGCAATATTAAGATTCCTGCACCAATAATAACTAATAAAAAGGCCTCAGGCAGCGTGGTCTTGTGTACTCATTAACACTGTCGTCTTTTCCTTCATGCCCAGCATACTGCTCTATATGTTTAGTAAAGAAATGTTAGTTATATTACTTTAAAAAAAGAAAAAGGCACCTTATTTTCTCTGTAGATGAGACAGAAATAAGTCACATTGACCTGTCCACCTTTCATCCAACTGTCCGTCCTTCACTTTAATCTTTATTTTAGGTCTGGATAGAGAGACTTCTCTGGAGTGTTTCAGATCCCTGTAATAAATACCTACAGTATCCTGCTACCTACTTCCTGAAACTCCCAACTCCTGTTTCCAAAGCAAATGCACACCCAAACCTATCTTTTAAAACTGCTAGGCGTACGTCTTTAACGGGTAAGGAGAGGTTTATATGTTCTTCTGCGTCATGACTTTTACTACTGATTTGTATAAATGCCCTTGAGGTTTGACCCCAATCCCGATCTCTTGGCTCTAATCTCACGTTAGCCTCGGGCTGGGAGCGAGCAATGCCGTCAATCAACACTCGCGAATGAGCCTTTAAACACGTCTCTGTGCGCGCATGTGTAGATGTTAAACACACAATGGTTTGAAGGTTGAGCAAGTCTGGATGAAAACAGAGATAGGAGAAGGGACTCGTAGTTAAAGTGCTATCTTGGATTACACTTACTTTCCCTTCTGATTAATCTACTAAACTGTATGTACGGGACATTTTGTGGTTGGAAAAATAAACGTGTCAGTGCTTTCAGGTAGGCAAACTGTACAGTTTCTAAAATCCCTAAAAACCTGCTGCATCTTTAGCATCCCTGTACTGCAATTCCCTTATTACGTATTGGCTGACATGTAACATCAGTGACACCAATGTCAATAAAACGTGATTGAACAGATGTTGGTTGATACATTGTATTAATGTATTAGTCAAAGCTTCCATTGTAAAGCATCATTTGATTTACTAGGGCTGTGGCTGACATTGTCTCAATGCATTGTATTGTTTAGTGTATACTGACAGAACATTGTGGAAAAGTCTTAATGATTTATATTTTCCAACAAACTTTTAAAAAACCATTTTGGACTGCTGTGAATGTCCGACCATAAACCTGATCTCAAAGCTGCCAGCAGACAGTTTAACCTGAAAGTGAATGTGTCACAGGAGGGTGTGTGACCTCTGACCTACACGAAACCATAAGATCGAGCTGAACCACTTAACTCCTCACAAGATCAGATCTCATGTGCAATATGCAAATGTTGTGAGCGACCAGCCTTCACCTGAGACAGCAGGACCGCAGACACGGTTACTAGAGTTCAGCCACACTTCATCCATCACTAACGCACTGACGGGGAGACAAGCCCCTCTCCAGGTGTAGCTAACGAGCAATTTTGCCCGTTTTAATCCAACTACTGTTAACGGTGAGTTATTGGGCGCAATTCCGCCGTGAAATGTATCAAACTGACGCAAACGGAGGCCGCACAGACGGCAAAACTACACACCAGGAGAGCTGGAGAGAAACAAAAACAACCACCACCACCACCACCTCCACACATCACAACTACCCCTCCCCCCCGCCTCCTCGTCTCGTACCAGAACAAGTGGCCGCACATACTGATGACAGCGTCCCTGGCAGTGTCCAAACAAATGTTGCACTCGAAGGTGGCTCGGTCCCGTTCGCCCTCCCCGCTGCTGCTGCCGCCTCCGCCGCCGCCGCCGCTGCCGCCAGGCCCGTCGCGGTCGTTGCTGCTCTCCCCAGCCGGGAATCCTCCTCTGCTGGCCGGCCCGCCGTCACTCGAGGACCGGGGATCCGCGGCCGCCATAATGTTTACTGCACGAGCAAGGAAGGTAACGTACCACTCCAACCCAACCGGGCCCGACCCGTGCTATAGTTTGCTGTCTGGCGACGACAAGTGTCACTGGACCGAGCCTGCTGCATGGATATATTACGGGCTGCTGCTGCTGTCGCTCTACCTGAAGGAGGACTTCCGCTTCCGGGAAAAACACAGACGAGGGGCGGGGAGAATAAAAACACCCGCCCCTAATAATAATCATATGGGTAATTATTGTTATGATAAAATCAATATTCCATAGGGTTTTAGTGCTTCTATTTTATATCACTATTTTTTTTTGGGGGGGGGGGGGGGGATTAATGTTATTTTTTCAATAACTTTCATGTAATGTGACCCTGTGACTCACTTAATATCAACATGTATCAACTGCACTACAACAGTTTTACCTTACAGGTGCAATTAAACAAAAAAACAAAACATCATACACTTTTTCACTGCATTAAACGCATTTCAAAGAAACGTTTCATTGCTGTCCATTGCAAGATACTGGGCATGGAACCATAGTTGACAGTCAAACTGTGAAATACAAAGTGGTATCTTGCCAAACCTTTTTTTGTACTCACTTATGTATGTAACACTACTCTGCTCTGCTGAATATGCATCTTTATTTCTAGAGATCTATTAATAAAATGCAGTTATCAGCGCAATTTTTGCTAGACTGTGTGAATTTTGCATGAATAACCTATGCCGAAATAACAGGGGGAAACCCTCAAATCAAAGAATAAATACACTTCACGCACAATTTAGTTGTATTTTCCCTTTAACTCATGAGATGCAGATAGCATGTTTTATACTTGAATATAATTCAATTCATATTATTTCCATATGCAATTTGTATACGCTTTGTTGACATCTTATTTTGAAAACCGGAAGTTGACTCACGTCGATCCCTCCGCCAACTTCGCAAAGTTTCTCGCTCCCTATCTGGGCCGTTTGAACGAGTTTACCATGAATGTCAGTATATAGGTGCACTAACATTTAATTGGCGGCTGGTTTGACCACAGAGATCCGAGTGTCTGCTGACTTTACCGCAGTCGACGACGGCAGGTACATGCAGGCACGGGCAACACCGGAACCATCATCGTGTATCTTGTTTCCGCCCGGAGACATGAGAAGCAGGCACTGCAAGCGTGTTGTGTACATTAGAAATATCCACGCTTGAGTATCTGACAGTAATCATTTCAAAATGTGTATGAAAGAAATCCATCAGTCAATGTAACCGGAAAATATATCATCTTCAACTGCAACGGACATTTTAACGTGAACAACTAGAACCTCTTCCGACCTCGCCTACCAGCCGCCATGGGGCTCAAGCGACAGAAACAAGCCAAGAAAACCATAAGTTTCTACAAATACAACTTCAGCTTCAGGGAACCCTTTCAGATCCTCTTCGATGGGACTTTTTGTCAGGCGGCTTTGACGAACAAGATTCAGATCAAAGAGCAAATGCCCAAATACCTGATGGGAGAGGTGCAATTGTGCACCACAAGGTGAGTATTTTAGATTTACACAGCATTATTTACCCTATGTGCAGGTTACATGTAACATTCTGATATCCCATTACTTACTCTCTAATCGCAGCTGTGCACTGAAAGAACTGGAGACTCTGGGGAAAGATCTGTACGGAGCCAAACTCATCCTGCAGAGGTTCCAGACGAGGAGGTGTCCACATTTCAAGGAGCCTGTCCCGGCTTCAGATTGTCTGCTGTCCATGCTGGAGGAGACGAACCCTCACAACTACTTCGTTGCTACACAGGTAAATATAATGAGACCCAGCTATCTGTTCAGTTGTCAGTTGATTAGGTACATGTAGCGCATACTAATGCAGTCTAATACAAAAGCCCTGCAGTAAATCCTACGTTATGAAGATCATAGTGTTCACTTTTTGTTTGAATTGATTAAGAGAGTTGGTGCTGTGTGGTCATTAAAATATTAGCTACAAACCACAGGCTCCATAATGATCCTAGAGTTGATTCAACGCCTCTCCATTACATTAACGACTAAAGCTAAACATTATAGCCTTCATGAAGTTAGCTTTTATTTCAAGGGTGTCAAATTAAATTATACATCCTTACTAATATAACTAGGTATACTTCATAAAGTGGCAAATCAATATAAGCTTACATTGTTTAACCCTGAAGCATATGTTTCCTTCACTTTATTGGCAGATGGTGCTGCTTGTTACGGGTCTTGTTATGTGCAAGAGCTTTGGACCTCCCTAAAATAGTGGAAGCCAATTAGATATCAGTTAAGGAACCTTCATATAATCATAAGAGAAATTCCTTAGGACAAAATCATAAGAAGAGAAGTTCCTTAGGACAAACTAAACTAGGGCTAAATGGAGTGCTGTGTAACTGTGGGAAGTAAACTTTGGCATCCCCTCACACAAATCTCCTGTATTTGGTGCATGTGCTCTCCAGGACCGCTCACTGACTGAAGGCCTGAAGAAGATCCCGGGCGTTCCCCTGCTCTATATCATCCTCAACACCATCGTGCTGGACAAGCCCTGCCAGACGTCCCTCGACCACGTCCGGGCCGTCCAGCTGGGGGAGCTGGTCAGCCCGGCCCAGCAGCAGAGCATCCGCAGCCTGAAGGAGGTTCAGGGCATTGACCAGAAGGACGGAGAGCGGCGGGGGAAGAAGAGGAAGAGGAAACGGAGCAATCCTAACCCTCTGAGCTGCCTGAAGAAGAAAAAGAAAGGCGGGCCGACGCCGCCAAAGAAGAAGACTGAGGACGGGGAGAAGAGGAAAAGAGTTAGAAACAAGAAACCAAGGACGGAGGGAGGAGACGTGTCTGCTCCTGCAGTAACACATGCATAGCAGGAAGACGGAGACTATTCGTTTCTTCCATAAATGTTATTTTAAGATGTCCACGCTCCCAATATGAAATAGTTCCACTCTGGTCTGTTTTTCTGATGTCCCTGCATAGAATAAACCAATGTTTGACACACACACAATGCAATTTTAAAATAATGCTCATAGTATTTGTTTTATTTTGAAAAAATGTCGCAACAGTTTCCAAGACTCAGGACTTACAGGCATAGGACTGAAACTGCTCCGCAACATAGCAATATTTTTGTGATCGGAAGATTTGTCTTGGCTTTTATACAAAATAAAAAGACAGGTTTACAGGCACATAGTTTAGAATATAAGAAGCACTCAGACATTACATGATGTACAGTTTGTATGGAAGTGGATATCAAAAACAACGCATTCAGCTGTCTTTGCAGAAGCACAAGGAGAGTGGTCACAACGACTTGGTGGTCTGCTTGTTTTTACTGCGCGCTGTGTGGTTTTTGATGTCGGCTAAATTCAACCTGTATTTTCTCGTACGATGAGTTTAGAGTCCAAACGACAACGTTCATAACATATGTCCATTCAGACTTCACTTGATAGCGTCATTCTTTAGATTAAAAATCTATTTTCCTTTTAAATAATTTAATTCTCTTAATATATATATATATATATATATATATTACATCAATAAATGAATATTGAACAAGTGTCTACTTGATTTACACTGGCAGAAGTTCTACATTACTGCATGTCACCCAGTTGTAACTAAATGGTTATATACATATACATATATATATATATATATATATAAAAGGGACACTGAATAAATAAAAAATCTGTCATGAACTTCAAGTCTTTTAAGAATAAAAGAGCAACACGGTAATAAACATGTTTGTAGCAATTCTACTCCAAACATATTTCAGAACAGGGCATGCAACTAAGGCAGACCACTGATGTTTACATCTATAGGTAGAAAATGAAGCTCTTTTTCTTTTTTTTTTTTAAGTCTGGACACAACTACAATTGTGTGCAAACAGTCGACGACGCAAGCAACGCATTTACAAAAAACGACAACTTGGAGTTTGTAATGCTTAAAGTGCTCCGCTACAGTTGCTGGTTGAGTCTGCAAATCGCTACCGCAGTAACTGTTTAAATGTACTCTGGCAGACTGGATATAGTGCATGCTCCATTCAGCTAATGTCAGTGTATATGAGAACTTTTTTTTTCCTGCAGTGGTGGGACCGATGAGACTCCAGGTAGCATGGTTGATTGAGTTATTACTCGCACTGTGAACATACTGTTCCTTTAAATATGCCGGTGCAACGCAGAGGCTTCTAGTCTACGTCTACTTGAAAAACAAGGAATGCTGCTCAGTGCGCAGTTTTTTTTTACTTACTACAAACTTAGCTATAAAGTGAGTCTTGATAATAAAACATACAATAAATAATGACTAAAAATAGGAAAAGTGCCGATTGTTTGGAGTTTCAATCCTCACTGTGATATTTTTCAAGGAAGAAACCTCTTTATAATTCATCCATGTTATTCAAACCTCTATCCTCCCACCACTGATTGATATTAAAATATTGTCAGACAGAAGATTAAACATTATACACAAAACAAAGTCAACAAACTTAAATAAGTAAACAAAACCAGTTTGTCGACAGTGTTGTGTGCAGAATATACACTGAGGAGTTTTTTTTTCTTTTCCCCCTTTTGTAACTTTAAAGTTGTGTTTTTCTAGATGATGTGGAAGCGAGGTCCGGGCGTAGCTATGATGTCGCTGTAAGGCTCCTCCTGGACGAGCTCCACCGCCTGCTGCTTCTTCAGAACCAGGAAACTGTAGAACTTAGCGGCGGCCTGTTTCTTGTTGTTGTTCCTGCACAGATCCAGCAGGCCCACCGACTGGGCACCCGTTTTGGCCATCACCCTCTGTGGAAAGAGGAGACGGAGGGAGTCAGGAAAGGAAGGCTTCATTCAAAAAATGTTTTGAAGTTATTCAAGTAGCACTTTGTACATCTATGTATGATGGTGAAAAATTATTTTGGATGTGACCATTCCAACAAGTAGTTAAAAACATCAACTCTAAGTTGTAGCAACAAGACGTCATCATATTCTTCCAATACGTTGTGTTCAAATACACACCTGGAGGCCATGGAGCATCTGCTGGGTTCTTTTGTTCCACCTCCTCTCCTCCTGGTCCTGGTCTCCTCCCCGCGCCTCCTCCTCCTGGCACAGAAAAACACAGTTACAAACACTAATAATACCTATTGTATAGTCAGTGTTCTGTTTCCTTACTTATGAACTGAAAGGGGTGTGAAAAAAACTATAAAACAACATCAAATAAAATCACACATCATCAAGTTTGCTGTGCAAGTTTTTTGTAAATCTCTATCTCGCCTCGTCATCAGAGTCGTCGTCGTCATCCTTCTTCTTGTCCTTGTCTTCGAGCAGGTCCAGCTCTATCATCTGGCTGATGTTAGTGGTTTCCTCTGGGGGCAGATCCACACTGGAGGCCTCCAGCTGCTGGGACACATTAATGGACCCCTGCGGCGGTTGTTGCTGGTCCAAAGTTCCCATCTAGAGGAGAGAGTCAAGGAGGATACAGAGTCTGAGTTTTTTGTAGGCCTGACATCTGATATGAGGTGTGATCGGATTTGGAAAAGGTGTAAGGGTGAGTGCATCTGCTTCAGTATATACAGACACTACTACTAGGGGGACCTCTATACTCACAGGCAGGGCTGGTTCTGTCTCCTGGGCTTTGCGTTTGAGGCCATGTTGGGGGGATGGAGGGGGCATGACCGACTCGTCCAGCGTGGTCCTGCTGCCTTCCACAGCAGAAGTCTGCAGTACACTGGCCTCTTCCATGATGGTCTGGTCTGGAAGGGGAAATTGGGAGAAACTGTATATATTAGAAAAACTGTGCATGGACAAAATAGACGTTTTTTTGTGCATGGCAATGCTGAATGTTTCAGTTCAGTGTCACTGAGAATATTTGTAGCGATCCACAATCACACATCCTATTTCAAAAAAAAAAAAGCAATTTTCCCTCTGAAGGGAGAATCAATGACTCAAGGTCAGTTGAAAACTCTCCTTTAAAAATACTTTGTGCAAACTGTCCTCGTCTGCCACAAACAAATACCATTAGAGGAAAAAAACACAAGCTCAAAAATAATTTCAAATCGTACTATTGTCTAACAGCCACTCTGCGAATTTCATACTAACTATGAAACTAATTATAACACGTGGGACAAAACCAAATTATGATTAATAACCCAAATTCAACAGTTTGTGTTGTGACCTTCCACACTCGAGCATAAATGTAGCCAAGCAGCCACTTCATACCCATGATGTCTCTCTGCTGGTGTGCTGCTGTTTCCTCTCTGGGCACCTCCTGGTTCTCCAGATCCTTGAGGAACTCATCCAGACTGTCGGCCTCTCCACCTTTCCTCCTCTTCCTGAGCTCGTCTGGCACCAGTGGTGTCAGACACCTTGTAAACATCTGGAGGGAGAAAGCAAAGAGGCAGAAACCTGAAAGATATGGTATTTTTTCATTCTTATCACCGTGCTGCTTTGTACATATCACGGGTTCTTTACCTTCAGCAGCCTGGCATTCCAGAGAGGCTGAGCGGGGAGAGAGAAAAGCTTCTCGACTCCTCCCGTCTCCTTCCACATCATCAGCTTCTTGGTGGGAGGTGCCAGGTCCAGGGTGGTGACAATGTCGGAGTAATCCGACAGCTGTGCACGGATGGTTTTACTGTCCAACTCCTTCACGCTGTCCACGATCAGCTTCCTCTTACGCTTCGCCTTGGTCTCCTTCACTGCACAGTCCGTAGGGAGACAGAGACAAATCCGCTCAGTAAACCACAATCGCTCTGAAGACACTATAATCAACAATTCAATCGTTTTCGTGATGGTGTTAGCTCTTTCTATCTGCTGCTAGTCTCTGATATTTGTTTCCTTCTGCCACCATGCCACCTGGAGTGGTACTATGTTAAAGATGTGATCTTGGGAAGGAAAGCCATCAAAAATGACCTGGAACTGTATTGGGAATTTAGACTGTAACACAAAATTACAGGGATCAAGAAATGTTGCTGCTGTCTCTTAAAACCAGCTGCATCACCTGTGATGTCAATCGGCTCCAGGGCGAAGGTTTCCTCCTCGTTGTGAACCAGGGTGGTCTGTTCCGTCTGGTCTGCCATGGCTGGGAGGGGCTTCGTTGGGCCTGAGTCTGGACTATCTGGGGCTCCCGCTAACAACACACAATCACAGCATGTTGGATACATGTTGGTAAGTGTATTGTAATTTCAACGGTATATATTATATTTAACTTATTGCAACATCAAACAACGTGGCTTGTTTTTTAAGTGGACCACTGCAGAGGTTATGTGCGGAACCGACCTGAGAGAGCATCAAAGTCGTCGTCGTCATCGACTCCGTGGTCCTGAGGCATCATCACGCTCTCTGCGATGGCAGGAGGGTCGTCGAAGATGCCGTCTCCGTCCTCGTTGCTCAGCAGCTTGTCCACTTCACAGAGAGGTGAGGTCGTTCAATTATTACCGATATTACTATTACTATTATTAAGATATTTTACTTTGATTGACAGTCCGTCTGACTGGTCAAATTTCAAATATACAGTACATGTAGACAAAAAGGGGCTATCATTCATAGCATTAAAAAAAACAAAATGTTTTTTAAAAAGGCTAACGTAAAGAATAACACACAAGAATTCAAGAGGATAGACAGGGTCAATTACAGAGATCTTAAAATGGAAATCAGATGAAAACTATAGGCATGCTCTCAATTATATGATGATTATCGATGTATTATATTATGCACGTTTTCCCATGACTTAAGTCTCAAACTATAGTGTTGCAGAAAGCTAACATTATTGCTCTCACTGTCTATGTGCCTAATATATTGACGGCATCTTACCAAGCATGCCTTCCTCGTTGCTCTCCATGGGATTGTCTCCGAAGTCGTCCTTGTACTGGTCATCGTACTCCAGATGGTTGGACTTGTCCGCCATCGCGTTAGCTCCACCCTCAGCCTCCAGCAGCAGGTTGGAAGCTGACACTCCCATGATGTCCACCTCGAACGCACTCTCCTCCCGCATCATCCCCCGGTCATCCATACCAAAGTCGGCTGCACTGACGGAAACGTGTGTGTTTTCACAGTGCGCAGAGTGGAATGTGGGCGAGTGGAGGAAGTTAATAAGTTGTCAACAAACAGAGAAAAGTACATCGAAGGGACGGTGTGTAGGATTTGGCGACATCTAGCGGCGAGGTTGCAGAATGCAACTAACTGAAACTTATCTCCTGTACCGAACGTGTAAGAGAACTATGGTGGCCTATACTGAGCCAGTGTCCCAGTGTTTGGTTTGTCCATTCTGGGCTACGGTAGAAACATGGCGGTGAAACGTAGCAGACTCCGTGGAGAGGACCTGCTCTCTATGTAGATACAAACGTCTCTTTCTAATGTAACGGAAACACGACAATACTTATTTTCAGGTGAATATAGACTAAATAAAACACACTTTTTAATATTATATTCCATATCTGCCAAAAGATCCCCCTAAAGGCGACACACTGGCCCTTTAAGTGTTCAAAAATGTGACTTAAAAAGATGCCTACCGAAGTCATTGTCCTGCAGCAGGTTGAGGTTGCCCACCTCCTCCCTCATAGTGATCTCCTCCACTCTGCTCTGGTTCAAGTTGAACTGCTGAGCAATGTCAATATCACTGTACAAAACACCCCACAGTCAGTTCAATATTCAACACGTATTTACTGCACTTTTCTTCAAATTATATATTTTTGCAAGCAGTGGAAAAAGATGAAATGTGATCCTAAAATATCTATCTATCACTATTCAATGCCTTCCAGCAGTTATTTTGTGATGAAGTGCTTGTAAATAATCAACTTTACAGGCAGAAAGAAAAGAGAAAATGAATTATATTAATGAATATCATTTTTAACTTTTGGGAGCTCTGATAGATTCTCAGCTAAAGGAAAATGTTGAAATCATTTTCCAGGACATTGGACTTTTTTCACTCATTTTCCATGTGTTTTCAATAACTGGAAAATTGGTCAAATTGTTTTCCAGGTTTTTCCAGGACGCAAAGAACCCTGTACCTCTATTTCGTCGACTACCTAATAAAGGCATATAAACTGAAAAAAGAAAATACACATTTTTAGTTTTGATCACCGCGTTTGGAACTAGTTCCTAGTGTGTCTCTACCTAATGCTCTCTCACTCTGGAGGACTCACTCTAGGTCCGGTAGTGGCTGGTCAAAGTCATGGAACTCCTCAGGCAGCGTGATAGCATTGTAGGCTGCTTCTCTGTTCTCCTCTGGAAGATCTACTACGCCTGAAATGGCACAATGTAGAGAAGAGAGTTACAGCGTGTGTGACATAACTCGTGTGGTTTTAAGAAAGATCTCAAGATTGGTGGAAAAGGACAGAAAATCAAGAAGAGGTGGACACAATTTTTAATGTCACCTATTTACAGTCATTTTTTTATAGGGGGAATGGTGAAAGAATTTACTGAATAATATAATTTTCAAGGGATATGCGAAATGCTTCAATCACTGCATGCACCAGAGGTAAGCATAGAATCAGTATCTGCTGAGGGTTGTAATTGACTTCTAAGCTGCATTCTGTCCCCAACCTGGTCGAAACGCCATCTTGATCTTGATGAAGGCCTCGTTACAATCTGCCAGCAGGTACTTGGCCTTCCTGTGGTAGATCCTCACCACCCCCAGCAGCAGATGCCCTGACGTCCGCAAAGCCATTTTCATCTGTAAAAATAAGGAGGAAAAGGTTTGTGCATGAATGATCTGTGACGACACTGTGAAATAAATCTGCAGCTTGTTTTATATATGTCCCATATAGTCCAAACTGCCTCTAATAGCGTCTGTCTTACAGTTGATAAAATGTTCTGATAATGAGACTAGGGCTGCAGATAAAGGTTATTTCAATTAATTTATCGATAGAATATTCAATCAAATGAACAGTTGTTGATCACATGTTACAAAGGCCCTAAATTATGTATAAAATATTGCCAATTTACAGGCACACAATTCAAAATATCTATATTCAGAATGATATGAAATTAAAGTAATCAAATGTGTTTATAATGTTTTGCATTTGTGAGATAATATAACCAACTGCTCTAATTTTCTGGGATTATTTTCTTCTCTCTCAGACAAAATGAATCCGTTTGTGCACTAGATGATACAAGACTGTGTTTATATGTGAAGCCGTAGGTTACAAGGAGCCTTCAAAGACATAACAGACACCGTTAGATGAGACTTATAACTGTGAATGTGACTGGTTGTAGATCAACACGGGTATCAAAAATAGTGAAGACCCTGAGAAAATGACCTTGGGCGAGATGATGCTCTCCACGCTGCTCTCCAGATTGCACTCGAACACGTGCGCCTTGGTCAGCTTCTTGTCCCAGTGGGCCGCCAGCCAGATTTTGGCCAGCGGCCCACGTTTGCTGAGAACAAAGTGGGCGTAAAACATCGCCTCGGCGCCTTCTCACCACAAGGGAAAGGGGATAGGGGATAGGGGGAGGCCTGGAGACAGGAAACAAAATACACAAAAAACACTTTACACAACAGGTAAACAAAGCACGACAGTGTGAAGGACACATTCATTGTGTGGTCTTAAAGCAAGCAGGCTCTTGAAGATGCAGAAATGGTTTGTGACAGCTCATAGCAGGGTGCAAGCTCATTAATTAAGACTTTTCTAAATGATTGCCTGGTATGGAAACTACTCCAATCAAGACCGCATAGCCCTGCGGATGTGGTGACTAATAATCAAACAACAATCAACTAATAGATGATGTGTTATTATAGATGAAAATAGTAGTTAAAGTTAAAATGGTTCCATCTCACCAGTAGAAACAGTAGTTGAAAGACTAAGTAATTAAGTAAGTAATGAGTAACAAGCCTAATAGGATTATCTTACTGCACATCATGTGTCTTTTTGTTTGTTTTTAGAAGAGTCTTTAACATTTTACTGATCACGTGGTTTTAACGTGGATGTGACTGTCAGGTAACGTGAGCCTGACCTGCAGCCCTGTGACGACTACGGTTACACCAAACACAGCTGTCACAACATTGACTCTTTTCTATCAGAAAGAGTCAGTAGCGTCACACACAGACAAGCCTCCAGACAGGCTTTCTTTGTCACAGTGAATGTCATTCAAAGGAGACGACACGTTAGTTACATTAAACCGCATTAACCCCCCACCCCCCGACCCCCCTTGTGTCACAACAGGTGATGATGCGGACAGCAGCAGTAGCCGTTAGCCGCTGTCAATCAGAACCCGAGCACCGCAGAGCCAGTGTGGTTGTTTGTTGTTGTTTTTTTGGACACCGACACGCTTCATAGAGAAATCTAACATGAACCGTAATGACTCACCGGTTAGCCGTTTCGTGCTTCTCTCCTTTTGCCGGCCGTGGTGCTGCTGCTGCGGGTGGTGGTGGTGGTGGATTTTTTTCCCCCACCCCTCCTCCGAATAAAACAAACAAGATGGCGTCCTCCCTCGCGTCCCCCCCTCAGAGTGGTGCTGATGCGGGAGAGAGAGAGGGAGAGGGATGCTGAGCTTTGCACCTGTGCGTCTTTTTTACCTCTGTACCCTCAGCGGTGGAGGACGTGCTGTATTCAGACCTTTTACTTCAGTGAAAGTACAAAAGTAGTCGCATCAAAATATACTTTGAGTACTAAAAGTAAAAGTAGGCTACTCATTAAGCAGAATGGCCCATTTCAGAGTAATATATATTGAACCTTCTGAGCTCTCTTGTTAATTTTGTTGTTTTTCAGATCATTCACTTACAAATATTAGAATCGGAAACTTTTTATTGCCAAGTACGTTACACATACAAGGAATTTGGCTTGGTGATTTTGGTGCGTATGTAAAACAGTGCAATATGACATCATTTAAAATACGAAAACTTACAATAAAATATGGTAAACAAACAAACAAATAAGAGTTTAAAAAAGATATAGCAATACCTCAGTACACTTCAAAAAAGACATCTGAGCAGATGTAAATGTAGCCTATAAATCTATCACATTATCAATAAGAAAAATAAGTGTGTATCTATACGTTCAAATATCTAGTTGGAAGTTAATCTGCACTTTTTCAAACACAAGAAATTGTGCATTCTTTTCCTTAACACGATGTATTAACATAATCCCAGCCGATCTTTTTAGATCTACTCACACAACAAACAATGATCTTGTTATATTTACTCTGTTCCAGTATCATTGTGAAGTGGGAGGAACCAAGGGAAGAAAGCCACGAGTAACACCATGAGTGGTGTGAGTTGTGTTGGACCAAGGGAGCACTTGCTCTTTCTGAATGGGTATTAGTGAGCAATGACACTTCACTTCATGCCCTCATGAAACGTACAATATTGTGGTAGTAATCATTTCAATGTAAAACATAACATAGACAGTAGGAGTGTGACCTGATGCATCATCAGCTCAAGTGACACTGATAGAAAGACTGCCTGAAGTTAATGGTAAACACTTGTTTTGCTGGATCCACATTAGAAACTTAAATTCACTTTACTTGCTAATTATATTATAATACAATAATGTATTAGCTTATAAAAAGTATTGCTTGATCTTCAGAACTTTAAGCAAAATGTTGCCTTAAAGTCAGCTTTGTCTTTTACTCGCACTTTATTTGACCTCCATTTTAAATCTTGCTTAAACTCGTTTTTCTTAAAAGTCTACTGCAAATATTGTGTTTGGCCTGAACACAATATCAGCTTTATCAGGCCAGATCGGACCCGACATCAGTTAGCTCAGCGTGGAGAACAGTAGTTTACTCATATGAGACAGAACCAGCTCAGCTGACAGAGGAGTGAGCCCGGCAGTCCCTTAGGCTGCTGGAGGAAACCCGCTAAAGAGCAGAGGAGACACAAATTGCTTTCTCCGCGTGTCCTCTGACAGAAGGTCTATGGGTCGAGGGCAGTTAAACTATGAGGCATTTCATGACTCTTTGATCACCTTGATCTCTCAGTGAACACCGGCTTATGCTATTAGATAAAATAGTCTCCATTTGGATGAATGTCAGCACAAGTTGCATAAATGTAAATACACACAAAAACAAATATTACATTAAAAAAAAAATATTGCAAGACTTTTGCAAAATTGTTGTGAAATCTGCACATTGGTGAAAGCGCCACCAGGAGGCAGCAAAGTTGGCTGAAAGGTAACACGACATTAAGACAACACACATGATCCCATCAGCACTGAATTAAGAAATGTCAGGTGTAAAATGGTAAAGGAAGCCCATGTAGCACTGCATGGCATTTTCTCCACTGAAAGGGCACCCTAGAGGGCACTTTGTTTTCTCTACCATAGGGGCATTGGTTTTTCAAACATGGGGGTGTCTAGGGCCCCGAACACCTCCCTGCAACCTAAAAGTAAAAAAAAGTACTAAAAGAAACATTGCCTCTGACTTAGACTCGCATAGCCAGAGCTATCTCTACACAGGCCAGCACTGGACAGCTCTGACCATAATACAGTGGAATGCAGAGCTATCTACCACCACCCACCCCACCACCTGAGGCCCAGTCTGTGTATCTGGCGGCGTGTTTGTCCCTGTCGTAGTTGCACCCTGTCGCCCTGCTTCCTTGACCTTCAAGACAGGCGGCCCAATCCCTCCAACCTCTTCTCACGCTCTACGGACCTCTGCACAAATGGAGTAATAGCTCACGTCTTATGGGCTCTGACAAGTGCGTTACTCTGTCTCTCTCCAACACGCTCATCCATCCGTCTTCACTGATTACTCTATGACAGAATTGCAAATAAGAGACATTTATTTGATGCTCAGTGTGTGGACTGAGAGTTTTTAAAGAGGGTGTTGGACATCACAAGTTCTCAACTCTCTCTCTCTCTCTCTCTCACTCTCTCTTTCTCTCTCTCTCTCGCTCTCTCTTTCTCTCTCTCTCTCTCGCTCTCTCATACACACGTACACTAACACACACACACACACACACTTCTCTTTGTTTCCTATGACATAGCACTTTAAAAGAGCAAAACAATACCTCACAGTGAAGAATCACTTTTGGGGGAAAAAGAAAAAACTGTGTGTGACGTCCCCTCCAAATGTGCCCACTCGTTCTTCACAGCCAGGCCCATAAGTCAGGGAGGAATATACACTAGAACTCTGTCTCATCTCTGAACAGAAGTCAGGGGGGAGGAACTGCTCACAGTTGCCAAAAAACATCCCACAAACCCCACAGGGAACAGACTTAACTTCCTGGCACAAAGAGCCTGGTTATATTTCACCGTAGGATGGCCTTTGTGCCTCTGAATCGGCTAACACTGTGGCTGTGTCTCCTACCTCGTCCAACCTGTCCGTCTCCTAAGCTGACAAGCAGGTCTCATTTAGGGAGAAGCCCTGAAAAAGTCCTCTGGGGGTTTGATGGATTTTGTGTGTACATGCAGGCACACACACACACACACACACACACACAGGTTTACACATGGGCACTTTGTCCAAATGAGAGCTCACTCACAACACGTTTCTCACACTAGAATTGTATGGGGGCGGGATAGACTGGGAAAAAAAGAGAGAAAAGGGGGGTGAAAGAGGGGGAGGGTGGAGTGGTGGTTGGAGGTGGGGGGGGGGGGGGCTCTTTTCAGTTCTTTTTGGAGGCAACAATAGTCTTTGTCCGAGTTCTTCAACCATTCTTATTAGGGTTACCCAAAGGAGGAGGAGGAAGAGGAGGAGGAGGAGATGGGGCATGCAGGCGCAGGGCAGTTTCTCCATAGTAACATTGACAAAACAAGCCAGTTCAACACCAGGCAGGCAAAAGGGATGATTGTAGCTGCTGAGCAGAAGCACACAGACTTGTGCTGCGGAATCCTGTTCACATAAGGAAAGGAGGAAGACCAGTCCGGAGAGGAGGAGATCTAGTGGAGTGCAAGATTTCCCAGAGTTTTTTGAGAAAGTGTATACCAGCCTGTCAGAGAAAGTGCTGGGAGGCAACACGTGAGACGGGAACACACTTATACTGCACCTGCACCTTCGTACCCTCCCAGCATGGACCGAGACAGTCACAGCGAGGACACTTTTTCCACCATGGTTCTGGAGAACATTAAAAACAAACTGATTCATGCCTTCAGGGCGACCGGAGAGTCCAGAGGAAATCCACAAGGCTCTGGCTCCACTGTCAGACCAGTCAGCATCGGCAGGAGTCACCAAGCCAACGAAGAGCTGCGGAGGGCGCAGATAGACGGAGCGATAACCTGGCTGAGGTCCGAACTGGTGAGTTCTCTGACAGATTTGACGTATTGTGCTGGTTCGCAACAGGCGTCGTGTCCAGAAATGTCTCCGATTGATCTGGTGATGGTGTCAGTTCATAAATGTAGAGACAATTTGGAGGAAAGTGCCAACACATTTTGTGTCTCGCCATCTGAACGTATACATTATAGCTTCAAACATGCTGATTCAGTTCTTTCATTGTTGTCTTGCAGCTGGAGATGCGCTCACAGGACCTCCAGCTGGCTCAGACACTGCTGGGGCTCAACACAGAGATCCAAAGACTGAGGAGGGAGAGTTTTGGAGGTTTGGAAGTAGAAGGGGATGATCAGCAGTAACTGGCCCCAGCAGAGAGCCCCTTCTCTGGGTGGAGAAGACCTAAGAGTGACTAAAGGTGGAAAAATGCCTTGGAACCAATGGCAGGCAAGGAAATGGTTGTAATGCAACTGAGCAGCAAAGATCAAATGCATTTGCTTGTGATAATTGGTAAAAAATGTGTCATGGTAATAATAGACACCAGTTGCACGTAAAGTAAGAGTGGGACAAAATGTGCGTTCTGTTCTGTGATGCTGGCATTGTTAATATTAGATGCTTTGTACTTATATAAAGTTGTATTAAAGAAACCTTTTTGTACACGTTTTGTTACTTTAGGTCAGAAAACAAGGCATTATGAATGTAAAAATGAAAAACACTTTTGTCCCATTGTTTTGTGATTTGACAAAAAAATTAAATTTGCACCATGAGTGGTTTCATATCTTTATTGTGCTGGAATACTGCACGGCATACGGTACAGTATCTGTTTAACATAGAGCTAGAAGTTCAGGTATGGTTGTTAACTCCCAAAAAAATTCTAGTTTATTCCTTTCACAAATACCTTCTATACACAAACAATCTGACACCAGTTATCTTTTAAAACATAGATTTACATATTGGTTCGCTGTACTAGCTTATGTATCCTAATAATACTTTCTCAAATAGATATTCACAAATACATGGAACAATGTCACTGTCAACAAAATGCTTCATCGCTGCATGTGGGCAATAACAATGCAATGAACCCGCTGCTGCATTTAATCCATTGTGCATGCAGTTGCATGTCGTTAAAAGGTCAGCGAGCTTCCAGCACTTACACATTCATAAAATCAATACATATAAACCCGCAAATTCATAACTCAACATCTGTATAGATTCAGCTCTGATCTGAATCACCGGCTAATGTTTGTTTACATAGAGAGGACATGTTTCTCTCACATTCAATTCTAACCAAAGACAGCAAAGATTGCCTTTAAGTCAATGTTTAATACAGGACTTATAGTATCCTCTGTCACACAGATCTTGTACTAACTTAAAGGAATAGCTGGGCATTTAAAAAAAAACTCAATTTCACTTTCTGAGATTTAGATGAGACGATCGATACCACTCTTGACTACCTGTCCATAAAATATGGAGCTGCAGCCACCAGTCGGTTAGCTTTGCTTAGGTTAGCTTAGCATTAAGACTAAATATGGGGGGGAGAAAGCGTTTCCCTGGCTCTGTCCCGAGTCAATAAAATCCATCTACTAGCACCTCTAAAGCTGACCAATTAACGCATTTGTATCTTATTTGTTTAATCTGTACAAAAACTGAAGTTGACATTCGTACAGAGTCAAGCTAGCTGCTCCCTCTGTTTCCAGTCTTTATGCTAAGCAAAGCTAGCCAAATGCTGGATGCATAACTCTTAGCAGGTTATTAGCAGGTTAGCAGGTTATTCATTGTCATTGTACAACAGGGTTGTGCAGCAAAATGCAGTATAGTCCCATTTTGCTCCATAAGAAAAACACAAAAAACAAAGCTACATTATATGTAAGGTGGAGGATGAATTACGGAGTCTCCCAGCCTGAGGAAAGAAGCTGCTCTTAAATCCGGTGGTGCTCCAGCAGCTAGACAGCAGCATGGCGAGTGAGATAGGACTTTAATTTAGACTGGACACTACAGACTTTTTAGGTGTATAATTGTATTTCCAAAAACAGTTCATAGCTTTCTGTCAGAAATTGATGTGTTTTACTTCACAATGTCATATTTTAGTTATGAAAACAGAATCAAATAAGCTAAAGAAGCCATTAGAGTGACCTATATCTCTTTCCTCTTCCTTTCCTCAACTCCACTCATCCTCCTGTCGGACTTCTCTCTAGAAAAACAAAATACAGGGAGGGGGGGGTTTTATGGTGGGAAACTGCAAATATCTATCTTGCTCCACCTTTCGACTGCCTTAGAGGATATGAGGAAGTTGAGGAGAGAGTTGAAGTTCTTCTAATAGTTAGAATTTTCATGGTACAGAGCTCCTCCGGTTGAAGGACCTCTTCGATAAAACCTTTGTGTAAAGGGTCGGAGTCGTCTTCAGGCAGGAAATGGAGAAGCCCACCTCCCCTGAGCCGAAGTAGACGCTGCCACTTCCTCTTTCGCTCTCAGAGTCCCAATAGCTGCCCTCCCCTTCCTCCTCCTCCTCCTCTCCCTCCTCATCTGTTTCTTCATCTTGCTCCTCCTCAGACAACTCCTGCTTGAGCTCCTGGATGCCGGAGTGAAGCTCCATCAGCTGCCGGATCAGAGCTTGGTCCTGGGAACGCATCTCCATCTACACATCGGAGAAAAAACAAAAGCATGTTTAGTTTTTTCTTTTATGCATTTTAGATATGTTGATTGCTGGACAGAGAGGAAAACAAACAGGCCCAAATATCATTTCATAAAGGAAAGAAATCATCAGTAAAGAACTCATAAAGAAACTTCACAGTTTCTGCATTTTCCTGATCAAGCTGAGCGGGTTAATGCTCAGTGTGACACCACAGCCATTTCATTCGAGCGTTGCCTTCTTTCAAATGCAAATGGCATTCTCTTTCTTCCCTCTTTTTTCTTCAGAGGCTGTCTAATTGCCGGGCATTGTAAAATAAGATATTCAGAATTCCACCAACTTCAGAGTCCAAGTTTGTCGTAAGGAGTGAGGAATGTCCCAAACAAAAAAAAGAACCTTCTGGATCCGATCTGCATTTCTTTTCTCTGTTAATTACAGCACCAGGTTGAGACCGGACTCCGACTGAAAGATGCCTTTGTCGAGGAGCAAAGAGAGAAGACATGGGAACTTTTTTTTTTCCGCCAGCCCTTTTCAAATAATGTGCTGGACACTGTGTGTATGCGTGTGGTGTGTCTGCATCGGCCTGTGCGCCTTTTTTCTGTTCCACTGCACACTACCCTGAGAAAAACGTCTAAATCAGGAGGTTTGTATGTGGATTAACACCTTCCATCTTTCTTGCTCTAACAAAATGTCTTTCTCTAAAGGAAAACATGGACACAGAACCTTTGATTTGATTCGAGGGGATGGATAGAGGTTATCTCTAATTGGGCTCAAACACAGCCCCAGTCTAATCACATTGTGAACACCAGACAGAGAAGTTGGATCTTTCACACAAGTGACCGAATCCTTTTTGGTGTGTCTTTTAAAAATAAGACAAAAAAAAGTATCTATGGACAGAATACTTTTGCTTTCACTTCTGAATGATTAAGTAGAACAAAATAAAAAAATGTTTACCAATAGAGATGATTCGTTGTTTTGAGATGTTATTCCCACACAGTCAAAAATGATTCAGGCTTCAAAAACAGGATAAATATATATATATTTTTCCCAACTTGGATATGCAAAATTATTAATAAGACTTGATAGAAATGGGGCCTCATTTTTATTGGCAGAACTGATAAACATCTCTGAATGTACAAGAGCTTGCTGCATTTTATCCTGATTTGATCAAATACAGTCTTAAGTTTAGTGCTCAGAAACAAATTCTGAAAAGAAAATTGCAGATGGACATCACGTGATGTGATAACAAAAAAGTCGAGAACAGCTACTTTATTAACCTTGAGGTGGTATATTTGGTCAACGACTGTTTCCGCAGTCAAGAATTAACTTTGAAACTCTAGTTTTAAGCCAGCATGGACATTAAAATGCTCAGAAAAACTGTAAATTTGTACAGATATGTTTCCATTGTGACTCCGGCTGCAGGTGAAGATCATGTGATATGATTCGAAAGCTTGAGAACAGCTATACTGAATGGACCTTGAGCTTCATCCTGGATGTTAAAGGTCTAAATGATTGCCTTACTCACATAACAACCGACAAGAAACACTATTTCAATAAGCTCTGGGTCTTTGTCATACAGAGAATCCTAAACAGTCCTTTAAGATGAGTCAAATTCAGGTGTTGTCATTCATTGCCGTTACACAGCAGGGTCTGATTAAACCAAGCAGAAGGCCTCCGTTTTTACTGGCTGTGTAGTCGGGCTCCTGCTCAGACACGTGGTTTCTCCTCCTCTGTGAGCTGAGGGCACTCGGTTACCATGACGAGCTGTCTGGGCGAATGCACTAAATACCAAGTGATATATTAGGCCGTGACAATGGGCCTTACACAGTCGCTCACAGAGGTGCAAACAGACACACACACACTTGGACACACACACAGCCTCTTTAAAATGGGTTGACATTGTAACAACATGACCTACATGCATCTCAGGAACAAAAGGGCAATAACTTCCCACACAAAAGCATACGGAAGGATCCGGGAGGTCATTTTGTTGTCGTGACGGATGGCTAGACCTTTGGCCAAAACCACAGTGTAAAAAATCTACTATTCGTAACTCTTGTTGCCTGTGGCTACATTTGACAACTTTGAGATAATTCTAAATGCTAAAACACAGCATAACATTTGCACAAGTAGAGAAAAGCTGACTCGCTAATGTTATGCTGAAAAGTTACTGAAAGGTTATGCGTCTATCAGTGTGACTCCCCCTATACCCTCACCATGCAGTGAACGACGTTAACATTGACTTAATGGCCTGACTACAAGGGCCTTTAGTGCGCAGCAATATCGAGCTAAAGTTTGCTAATATTAGCTAGAATTAGCCACCATTAACTTTTTTGTATCTCATGTGCACAACATGGTTATTTTAAACCACAGACTCTCTGGTTCCTTCTTATCCGTCTACATACGTGAAAAAATCGAAATCAATATAAACTGCGGTTTTCTACAGACATTGGTCCCCAAGATTAGAACAGAACTTTGCATAAAAGCTTTTATATACGCTGCCTCAGAGCTTATTACTATGGGGGACTTGAAGTCCATTTGGTCAGTGTGATTGCTCTTAAACATTTTAATGAATTGTTTTAAAACTGACTTGTTTTAAGCGTTATAACAATTTTCTTCATTGCATATTAACTGGATATTTGAACCTATTCAATTGAATTTGTCTGTTTGTATTTTCCTCTGTTTATTGTTGTAACAATGTTCATGATGGCATCTTGGCTAGGTCACTGTTGAAAAAGAGATTTTTATCTTTCTAGTTTTGTTGGGACTTTATCATTCTTATTCGTACATGCACAACTCCAACATGACATGTGTGGGTATGCAGGGGCTTTGATCTATAACAATGAATCATACCTGCATCATATTTCTTAATCTAATCAAATATCTTGTACGTAAAATCAAAGTACAATAGCCGTTTAATACATGTAGTGACATACAAAGTACACAATCTAGGTATCTAAGTATAAAGTAGCATAAATACTTCTCAGATACACTTCAAAATTTTGTCCAGTACTTGAGTACATTTACAACTGAAAATGGACTTCATGTAGAAAGAAGAGTGAGACTTCATCAGAGCTCCAATCTTACCAGTTCCCTTCGCAGCCATGCCAGCGCGCTCTCTATGTCCAGTTTTCTGCCTTCCTCTCCAGCTGTGCACCCGGTCCTGCTCCGAGGATCCCTGCGTGCACTCTGTCCTGCCGGTTTGCAGTCGTCAAAGGTGGAGGTCTTGCAGGAGAAGTCCCGCAGTCTGTTCAAGACCACCTCCATCATGTCAGGTCAGCGATCTCGTTCTGGACCCTTGGCTGTGTCCTGTATGTTCTCGGCTCTTCAGTGCAGATGCAGCCTCGTCTGGTCTCTCTTTCTCTTCTGGATCCCTCGCAGTTCTGATGACTTATGAGGGACTCACACTCCCCCCCCCCCCTTCGCTTAGCAGTGTGGAGTTTGAATGTTGACGGAGCAGGTCTGACGTCAGTGCATTGTCCAGATGCCTGACCTGGAGTTGTTTACCACTTTTTACACACACACACACACACACACACGGTTCATTAGGATGGAGAGGAGGCGGACGGTTGCCATGGGCGACAACAGTTGCCTATCTTTAAAAATACTTGCAGAGGATGCAGGGAGGACAGAATGTGTGCACACACACACACAGGGCTTTAGTGTATAGGGCCCTCGTGATCTGGTGAGTGGCTCGTTGCAGGGTCAGGAGCTTAAGAACAGTGTGAACAGCCATGTGTAACTAACCCCTTCTTGTGCCATTTTACCCTCACTCTGCAGGCCCTAGCAACACCATCTATTCACACACATACACACACACACACACACACACCTTGGCGAACCAAACACAGGACCACTTTGTGGACTCCACAGACGGTATTGACCGAAATAGCCACATTGACACTATTTTTAGAGTCGAAACTGACTCCACTTTTAGACCTCTTCAAGAAAACCAACGTCACTTTCAAAAGGAATAAAAAACAAGCTGCCTTTTAGTCTCATTGTGCAAATTGTGTCATGTTCTTAATGCGGCCTCCAAAGACACTGAAGAACCTTATATGAGCTGTGACGTCAACAGTTGCTTCATGAATGAGTATAATTGACAATTATGTTAAATGCCTTATTGTTCACCTTTTATTCTTTGTTTGTATCACTATTGATATTAAATGAAATGCTAGACTGTGTGTTTAGGGATGGGACAGGGAATCATCCTCATCCACCTGAGGTATCACAAGTATTTTTTTATCTTGTAAAAACCAAATGATACAACAAATACATTTTGACAATAATGTCTTTGTCAAAGTTCCCCCCCACTTTTCTTTACTGCTGACGGTGGACAACTGTGCGGCAGACACTGCATAACAGAGAAGACTTCATATTTAATCTCATACACAAAACACAGCACGTGTTGCTGGTGTGATCGTGACAGTTTTGGAAGAAGTACTCAGATCGTTTTACTGAAGTACAAATAGCAATACCACAGAAATACTCCTGCACTCAAAATTCCACCTAAGTTAAAGTACAAAAGTATTGGCATCAAAATATACTTAAAGTACCAAAAGTAAAAGTACTCACTGCGCAGAGTGGCCCATTTCAATATTTAGATTATTGGATTGTTATTATTATTGATGGATATGTTCATCACTTGAATATCGCAGCTGGTAAAGGTGCTTATTTTTAGTTACTTAAAGTACTGCTGGATAGCTTGTGAATTTCCCTCTGAGGATCAGGACAAATAATCTTAACCTACAACAATACATCATCATCATCATCATCATTTGTTTGTTTGTAATATTCTGTTTTATGTATTGCTGTGAATAGGCAAAGTAACTAGTGACTAAAATATATGCAGTGGCGTGAAAAGTACGATTTTGTCCTGTGAAATGTCGTGAAAATTGAGATACTCAAGTAAAGTACAAGTACTACAGAATTGTCCTCACTTGATATGTACTTAGCAACATTCCACCACTGGATGGAGGAGACAATACCAAAATGATAGAGAAATATTTTGGTCCAAAAACAACCACTCAAATATACAAATAGAAATATATAAATGAGAAATAATCATAATAACACAACAATCATCATTATTAACATCCTGGGTTTTAAAAGCCTTCCCCCTTCTCATGACTGGTGTGTTTTACATGGGACCGCAAACACTTGCTGAACATGGCTCATTGTCGACACCATGTGGTGTATTTTAGGAGGCAAACATTAACAACTGGTGGTTTTCTTTCACGGCTGCAGAGATTATCAATCCGTCCAGTGTACAGGATAAGTGTGTTGCGGGTTTTCATACAGCCGATAAGCTTGGGAAACATTACAATGAATTAATTGTAAGACTGTTTTGCAACTTTGCTTTAAAACCTTGATGTGAGACCGAGAGCATCATCTCAACACTGCTGCTATGGTTCTTTAAAATGAAATTAAATACAAAACGTCTCCTCCAGACGCGTATTCAAAACATAGAAATGATAAACTGCTTTGAAAAATAATATGTGTCTGATGTTATTTTCTATAAAAAATAAGTTGAATTTCCAAGAAAATAAAAAAATCAACAATCTAGTAATACCATTTAAAAAGTGAAACAGTTGGCCCACAAGATGTCTCCGACTTCAGCGAAAAGTTAAAAAAAAAAACGTTTGCGCGCGCACATTTCTGAGTGAAGGTGGACTTTAATCGCTGCATCAATCAAGGAGCCCAACATAAAAACGCCTTTTCTACTCCACGTGATCAAAACGTGTATCCTAAATTCCCAAAAGACAACTTTAGACATATGGGAGCAGTTGTTTCACAGCTTTAGGCAAACTTCTCGATTCAAAAAAACAAACATACAAAATAACGGCATTAACCTGAGATGAGGAAGCCTGGATGGAGACACGCGCGCGGCCCTTAGTTTGATTGCATAATCGCAGAGTTCCGGCTGCTCAAGGAGGGTGGGCGGGTCCAGAATGAGTTCTAGCCGGCTGAACAACCAAACACCCCCCCCCTGATTGAGATGATGAGTGCACACTCGAACTTTTACTTAAAAGCTGAATTTATCGTTCACTTTTAGCGCTACATATAAGAGAATATGACATTGCATACAAACCAACCTTTATAGAGAGTGGGTGTCTTTTATTGAACTTTAACATCTCGACTTTTAATCAGCGAAGGCTCTTTTTCGTCTCGAAGCGCTCCGCAGGCGGCGATGCATTTGCACACGGTGCGTGTCCCCAGTAGCGATCACATGGCTGTCCGCATCGCGTGTGTTTGAACCCCGGCCAGTCGGTCAGGATATCAGAGCTGCTGGTGAGCGTTCATCGAGAGGAGACAACGCAACTTTAAGAGCACCTCGACAATAAATAGATATTACGTTTAGATGAACACAACTGTAGCTTTTCTTGGACGTATTTGTAAGTCACTTTTGAATTTGGACTTTTTTTTTGGAGCATGTTTTTATTTTAGTCTTGTCACTTTTGAGGGATTTCTTTAAATTAGTTGTTCTCCAAGAAGCCAATCATGTTCAAAAAGAAGAATCCAGAAAGACTGAGACTGGTGTCAGACTTGAAGAACTCGTATAACGGTTTGGGAAGGTAAACTTTTATTCATTCATTTGCACTAAATTGGAATAAAATTGTCCGTTGGCCAATGCTTTCTTATATAGGCTGTGCGTTAATCTCAAACTGTTCAGTGACTTTTAGCGACACAGATCTCATAGAAAGTGTATCAAACTTTTGTCGAATATTTAAAAAAAAATTCCGTCGGCCTACATGCAGTTGTGCTGTTGGCACTGTCTTTGCCCACGTTCCCTTGTTTATGAACTGGGCTACTTTTTTTTTTTCCACACGGGGCCAGTCTGCTGGTCTGAGAAGCAGTGCGCAAAACACAGTCACTGGCGCAGAAGTGGACTTCTTGCATCCCTGATGGAAATGGGAGGTGCACTGAAGCTTATCACCTCTAGGCTATTCCCTGTGGTATTGATTTTAAGTAATATTTAAATATGTGTATATCGTAACAGGATGTTTTGTCCCTCAACAGAAATAAAGGATGATCCTAACAATTACTTCGTTATTAGATAAACCCAGTTTATCTGCTCATTTTCTCAGGTTGCATTCAGCTGATCATGAAGTTGGTTCTTGTTGGTGCTGCTGGTGATAGCACACTGATTTCACTTTGGCTGAGCATTTCAAATTGTTTCCTCAGTGCTGTTTAAACAACTAAGTAGACTAACTCTAATGTCGTTTGAGTAAAACAAACCTATGATTTTTTTTTTTTAATCCACTCTTAAAGCGTTTTTGTTTTCAAATAATCTGATCTACAGTATGTATCTGGACACTTGTAAACACAACAAATTAGCTGCAGTATGACAAAAAGGCTACGCGTGTGTAGTGCCCCCCCCCCCGACCCAAAATAAAGGGCAAAATAGAAGCTGTCGACTCTTCTCTCCCTTCCTGTTACTCCAGTGTGAATGGCATTTTACCTTCTCGGCCTCACCTACCTGCTATGTCTAGGGTGAGCTAAACCAAGCAAGCATCCAAATCACAGAATAATGAACCTAACATTAATCTCCAAGTGACATCTCAGTCTATCTATAAGAACACCAGATATTTTTAATTTACAGCAGAGCTTCCCTATCTTCCTACATCTTAACAGAGCCCAGTCCCTTACGAGAGGACATTATTAGTAAGCAAACCTGTTGGCACTTTCCTTGATTGAGCTACTGAGCAGCTGATCCACCACAACATCCCAAACGCAACAGAAACAACAAACCCTATGAACCCCCAAAAACAAAGAAACTAGACATGCTTGTATCATTTGTACAACTTAATGGGAAAAAAGTGTCAAATAAACTGAAACATTGGACTGAAATGAATATTTAAGCAGACATAAAAACACCGTTAATGTTGGGGAACAGGGCCGAGTGAAAAGGAGAACGACCGTGTTTTCACAACATGATTGGGTTAAACATAACTGGACGAACATAATATTTATTGCCAACAAATTTGACAATCAATAAACTCATTTATAAAACAATAATGCAAAACATTCTCTTGTTCTTTATCATAGGAAATTGAATGAATTTGGATTTTGTTGCGCTCTAAACAAATGTTAAATAGCCACATTCACAGAGAAGTTATCTTCTGTTTGTTCTGATTTATTTATTTATTTATTTATTTATTTTAATGTTCGTTCCAGTGTGCCCAACCAGACGGCCTTCCAGGTAGACGCCACTGGTGGCATCAAGCATTGCCACGACAACAGCCACGCGGAGGAGGATCGTGACCGAGAGAAGAAAGTGGCCAGGAGGAGGTTGTACGTGGTCTCTGTCATCTGCCTGGTTTTCATGGTTGGTGAAATCGTCGGTGAGTCCTTCTGCTTGTCTCGCTGTTCTGTCGTGTCAATCGCCTTGGTTTAAAAACTTGGTAAAAACTGGATTTAGAGCTTCATCTGCAGGACATGCAACACTTTTAGCCAACTGGGATGACGTGGCAATAAAGTATTGAATTAGATTGAGTTTAATCAGGTGTTTAACTGTTTCTGTTTTACGGCTTGGTTACACCAACAAGGATTCATTTTGTTTAAACTCGCTTTAATCACGGTTTAACTATAAATCATGATGCACCAAACTTTAACACTATCTTAAAAGTAAGTCGGATTACATTTAAACCTCTCTTTAAACGTGAGATTAGTTTTTACTCTCACCCTGGATAAAATTCAATTATTTTGCACCAAAACTTTAATCTCCAACTTAAAATGTGATCCATGTATTGACTTTAAATTTACACTTGAGGCTTAACGTTTAAACTGGCTGACGTTTTTGTAATGCTTAAGGCAAAACAATCAAGTTTTGCTCAACTCAAGAACTATTTAAGATTAAATGTAAAGATGTTTCACTCGTTCACATACATCTCACTAATTCGCCTTTTCCTTTACTCTTGAATGTTTAGTATTTTCCTCCGTCTTCATCTCCTTTCACTTCGCCTGCTTATCTACTCTTCCATATACTTCTTTATTTCTTCTAAAGTTTGGTACAGCCGTTCACAGTTCCTCGATTATGAATCCTATGAAACTATCAAGTTCAAATTTGTGTCATCAATTATTGAATGGATTGTCATGAAATTTGGACATTCATGTTCGCCTCATGAGGAGTTGTAAAAACTTCGGGGGTCCTTTAGCTTTCCATATAGCGCTAAGATTTGTGCAATTTTTGGTTTATTTAATTAAACCAACGTTAATTCAATTATTAAATTCTTGTGGCTTATTCAGGTCAAACTGTCCTCCTGTCTCTCTTTGGTTCTTTTTTTCCACACTAGTATCAATCAAGCATTTCAGCAGTGCAATAGCCTGATATTTATATTGATTTATTGCCTGTCCTTCTGAAGGTGGGTATTTAGCAGGCAGTCTTGCGGTGATGACAGATGCTGCCCACCTGCTTGCAGACTTCATCAGCTTCCTCATCAGCCTGTTATCCCTCTGGCTCTCCTCCAGACCTGCCACACACAAGCTCAGCTACGGCTGGCATCGCGCAGGTACGTCGATCCATCTGTCCGTTTCAAATCCACAAACAGCCGAGATTGGAACTGAATTATAAGTTTAACTCATCTATACTGATTTTGTCAACAGAAGAGAGCATCAATACGTTTTACTTTCAATACGTTTGTTTCCCCGTCTGAAATGGCTTTCTGATGGCAAGATAAAACGGTGAAAGTATTCTAAATATATCGTAAACTAAAAATGATTTAGTTTTTCTGATGGAGGCGGTACACTCACCTGAAAGGTGACGTCATTCCGTTAATTTCAGGCAGACCTTAAAATGTGTAACTTTAAGATAAATTGTAAATATTGACCATGAATGTTACTGATAAGACACTTATTTTAAACGGTTAACAGCTCGGCAGTACATAGCGCAGCCACTAGTGTCTCCATTTATAAGCAAACATAATATTATGGCTATCGGGTTGTCATATTGCTTAGACTCAGAGCTGTAATGCATTCACTTTTTCATTGTCCATCAGTTTTTTGTCCTTCGGTCAAAATCTGACCAGAACATCTGTAATTAGAGCTGGACCGATAAGTAGTCTACCTCTACACTTAAACGGCATGTGTACAGTCTTGTCACTTCATTTCACTTCAATATTAAGCAATTTTGAAGTTCTTCTTTGTGTTATTTGGAGTTGAAAATTCTGTTATCTGGAGCAGCTTTCAGTCAGTATTTTACCACGACTCTTGTGATATTTCTCCTGATTTATTTTCCTCCTCATTTGTTCTCCCCTGCAGAGATTCTGGGTTCTCTGCTGTCAGTTTTCACCATCTGGCTGGTAACAGGAGTGTTGGTTTACCTGGCTGTGGAGCGTCTCATCAACAATGACTTCACCATCGAGGGCACTATCATGCTCATTACCTCTGGTTGTGCTTTGTTGGCTAATATTCTGTGAGTACACACTCGGTTCTCATTTATACTGCTTTTATCGGCGCGCAGTGCGTCTTTGAATATTCCCGATTTGATTAAAGCCAATACAGACAGGAGGGCAATACCATATCTACTTTGAGGGACTCTTGAAAAAGTCTGTGTTGTAGTATGTTGTACTTGGAGCTGATTAGATTCATACTTTGAAAATATTTTGTTCCTACTCTCAAAAGCATGGCCCTCATCCTTCACCAGTCCGGCCACGGCCACAGCCACGCGGGTCTCGGCTCACACGGCCACAGCCACAAGAAAGGGAACGAGCACAATCAAGTTTTAAACCACACAAACCAGAGAGATGACCAGGCAGACGCCGAGCAAAACAGGGCTGCTAACGGTAAGTTCCTCGTAAAAAATCCTATTTGAGAAGAAAGTGACGAAATAAGGAATAATGTTGTCCATGAAACAATGAAATACTAGAAAAAGCCATTTCTGAAGAAGTGTCGGTGTGAATGCTGGATGAAAAGCTGACGCTACGCTGAATTGCTGGCTTTAGAATATGAAAAATACCAATGTATGAAAGACATGGAATATCTCAAGGTCTGTTGAAAGGCTGATGCCACGTTAAATTCCCGGCTTTCAAAGTTGAATAATGCCAATAAAATATAAAGGATGTAGACTTTATCAAGGTCTGTTGAAAAACTGATGCTACGCTGAACTGCTGGCTTAAAAGCCTCTCATCCTGAGCTTCCTCTCATACCCCTGCTTCTCAGACAAAAACCTGTACTAGTGCTGAAATATTTTCCGTAAGGATTTGGGAGCCCTTGATTAACACTTAATTTGTGTGTGTTGTGTCAAAAATATGAGACTGGAAGCAGATTAGATAACTGAAACGTATTTTGTCCTCCAGAAAGGTTTTGTGGAGGCAGTTGGTTAAGAGTTCCTGTCACTTTGAGGCTCCTGTAGCCAGATGTGCAAGTCCGCTTGCTAGCGACATTATTTCATTATACGTATGTGGAACATTTTAAAGATTGAATGGGGTTTCTGTGTGAATGTATGAATGAGTAGATAGCAGTTTAAAATGCATCTGAATGGGGAACATTTTGCACAAAACATTGAATATATCTTGAGTGTGAAAAGTATGTATGACAGAAGTTACATCTTTTACGCATTGAGGTGAACATTTTGATGTTTGAATGAATATTTCTACATTAAATAAAAAAAGTGTAAGGAGTGCCAAAAAGGGGTTTTGGAGGAATAATGAAAATGCTTCCAGCCTTCACACTAATTCATTGTATAATCTCCCAAGCACAGTATTCTGTAGTATAACTGCACCGTTACTGAACTACTTCTTTTCAGGAGGGAGGGCTCTGCAGGACAACGCCAGTGTGCGAGCGGCCTTTGTCCATGTGTTGGGAGATCTTCTCCAGAGCGTCAGCGTGTTTCTCAGCGCCATCATTATCTTCTTCAAGGTCAGGATTCTCTCTAGGCAGCGTGAAACTTCAACCCATGAGGGGAAGAGAGGCGTGTAGAGTAGGTGTGAAATGCATAGACATTGTGAAATTGGGTCAACAGACTATAAGAGAGGTATAACTTTCGTCCTTTGTAATTGTTACGATTATTTTAGAAAATTTGAAATGTAATTCATCATTTTCTGGTGTGCTTGGTTTGTTATTGCAACAGAGTGCAAATCAGCAGCATACACCATTGTTCAGCAAAGTTTTCTCAGTTTTTTTAATTTTTTTTATTCATTTTGGCAGATTTTATATATAACCATTTCCTTTCCAATAAAGCAATAAGCAATCTAATTAGACATTTTACTGCATCACTTGGCCAATGCATTAACTGCCAGAAATCAATCAATGAAGTTAATTGTAAAAGTTTGCAATTCAAGCTTTTTATTTTGGTCAGTGTCCTGCGTCCCTTAAGCCTCATAACTATTACTGAAAAAATACTTTAAACTACTTCAGCTTAAACCTTTGATGCCTTGGCCAAGATACAATATATTGTCTGTGTGATTTGTTTCTTTCAGCCAGAATATAAGATCGCTGACCCCATCTGCACCTTCCTGTTCTCCATATTTGTCTTGTGCACCACCATCACCATCTTGAGGGATATTCTTCTTGTCCTGATGAATGGTGAGGCTCTCGTTCTCTGGTCCAAAAACAACAACGACATACAGAGTTTTCTAGCTCTCTTTCCTCATTGCTCCTCATCATTTCACTAAGCCGTGCATCTTCCTGACTCAGGCACTCCTGCGGGGGTGAAGTACGGTGAGGTGCGGGATGGTCTTCTAGCCGTGAAGGGGGTGAAGGCGGTCCACAACCTTCACATCTGGGCCCTCACCATGAACCAGACTATACTGACTGCACACGTAGCCATAGGTGAGATGAAACTGCCAGAGTCCAACTTTTACGCATCAATTTATGATGGAAATGTCTTAATTTATGTGAAGGAGAACACTAAGTTCAGGCGTCGGGTGACAAATTCAAATAATAAAAATGATTAGGCATTAAGGCTCTCAGGCATTTTTTTATGCTTTCAAATATCATTCAATATATATGAAAGTAACCAGTAATGCTGTCGATGAAGGAAGTGGAGTAAAAAGTTTGTTTTTACAATATTATTTATATTCGAGTAGAAATAGAAAGTAGCAGAAATACTCAAGTAGAACAAGTATTTCCAAGTTGCACTTACAGTGGGGCAAAAAAGTATTTAGTCAGCCACCAATTGTGCAAGTTCTCCCACTTAAAAAGATGAGAGATGCCTGTAATTTTCATCATAGGTATACTTCAACTATGAGAGACAGAATGGGGGGAAAGAATCCAGGAAATCACATTGTAGGATTTTTAATGAATTAATTGGTAAATTCCTTGGTAAAATAAGTATTTGGTCACCTACAAACAAGCAAGATTTCTGGCTCTCACAGACCTGTAACTTCTTCTTTAAGAGGCTCCTCTGTCCTCCACTCGTTACCTGTATTAATGGCACCTGTTTGAACTTGTTATCAGTATAAAAGACACCTGTCCACAACCTCAAACAGTCACACTCCAAACTCCACTATGGCCAAGACCAAAGAGCTGTCAAAGGACACCAGAAACAAAATTGTAGACCTGCACCAGGCTGGGAAGACTGAATCTGCAATAGGTAAGCAGCTTGGTGTGAAGAATTCAACTGTGGGAGCAATTATTAGAAAATGGAAGACGTACAAGACCACTGATAGTCTCCCTCGATCTGGGGCTCCACGCAAGATCTCACCCCGTGGGGTCAAAATGATCACAAGAACGGTGAACAAAAATCCCAGAACCACACGGGGGGGACCTAGTGAATGACCTGCAGAGAGCTGGGACCAAAGTAACAAAGGCTACCATCAGTAACACACTACGCCGCCAGGGACTCAAATCCTGCAGTGCCAGACGTGTCCCCCTGCTTAAGCCAGTACATGTCCAGGCTCGTCTGAAGTTTGCTAGAGAGCAGTTGGATGATCCAGAAGAGGATTGGGAGAATGTCATATGGTCAGATGAAACCAAAATAGAACTTTTTGGTAAAAACTCAACTCGTCGTGTTTGGAGGAGAAAGAATGCCGAGTTGCATCCAAAGAACACCATACCTACTGTGAAGCATGGGGGTGGAAACATCATGCTTTGGGGCTGTTTTTCTGCAAGGGGACCAGGACGACTGATCCGTGTAAAGGAAAGAATGAATGGGGCCATGTATCGTGAGATTTTGAGTGGAAACCTCCTTCCATCAGCAAGGGCATTGAAGATGAAACGTGGCTGGGTCTTTCAGCATGACAATGATCCCAAACACACCGCCCGGGCAACGAAGGAGTGGCTTCGTAAGAAGCATTTCAAGGTCCTGGAGTGGCCTAGCCAGTCTCCAGATCTCAACCCCATAGAAAATCTGTGGAGGGAGTTGAAAGTCCGTGTTGCCCAGCGACAGCCCCAAAACATCACTGCTCTAGAGGAGATCTGCATGGAGGAATGGGCCAAAATACCAACAACAGTGTGTGAAAAGCTTGTGAAGACTTACAGAAAACGTTTGACCTCTGTCATTGCCAACAAAGGGTATATAACAAAGTATTGAGATGAACTTTTGTTATTGACCAAATACTTATTTTCCACCATAATTTGCAAATAAATTCTTTAAAAATTAAAAAAGATTCTTTCCCCCCATTCTGTCTCATAGTTGAAGTGTACCTATGATAAATTACAGGCATCTCTCATCTTTTTAAGTGGGAGAACTTGCACAATTGGTGGCTGACTAAATACTTTTTTGCCCCACTGTAAATGCAGTACTTGAGCAAAAGTACTTAGTTACTTTCCACGACTGGTAACCATATAGTGTATGAATGAGTATTTCGTCCTCAATGGCCTGCCACTGGGCCTTTTGGGCTTTTTTCTCTTTACTACTTGCGTTGGAACCGTTTAAAGGCACACGTATATTTACACACAGGGGCGACTAACAATTTCACTGACATTTGCGTTGTCTTCCTCTCCTTTCCACAGACGAGACAGTGGACGCTCAGACGGTCCTAAGAGAAATGACACAGGCTTGTATCTCCTCCTACAACTTCCACTCTGTTACAATTCAAATGGAGAGACTGGCCGACCTGAAGCCTGGATGTACCCTGTGTGAGGAGCCCAAGATGTAGGAACCTGCCGTAGTTCTTTTTACCCGAGCCCATCAGAGTAAAAGGCTACGCTTTGACTGCTGTAACATCGGCACTGCTCTCTGGTTCCTGAGTTTTTTTTTTTTTTACTGTGACATTCATGCCAAAGTCAAATGGCTGTGCCCGTGTGTTGATACTTCCAAAGAAATATTTACGTTGAAATATGTGAGTGAAGGGCTTGTTCATGATTTTAAATTATTTCAGAAGAAAGGTTCCCGATCCACACCATTCCCTGTGCGGGAAGTTTTAACTAAAATATTCCTAAGATTTATTTGCTTTTAAGTGTATTCGTGTTGAAATATAAATCACAATAAACTAAATTCATCCTTTTATGGATCAATACATTTTGTTGAATTTTTTTTTTTTTTTTAGTGAAAACTTGAGCATCAAATACTTGATTTTCTGCATTCTGTTGATTTTATCAATTTTTTTTGTGCAAAGGACTTTGGATAACTAAATTGGATAAATTCAGGCGAGAGCTGACAATTCAAAATATAATGGCATATAATGCAGTAAGACTCGGGCATTCTGCGTTGTTTTAAAATTTTTACTGATGAATTTCTCATTTGATGTTATCCCTTCTGAGTGAACACGCATTTAGGCATGATTTGCTCTCACGTCCTCTTTTGTTTGGGGGAAGTAACCTCTTTAAATGTGCATGTGGCACTTATTCACCTCAGTGATACTTTTAATCATTTAAATTCATTTATGAACCCCTGGCTCATAGCCCACATGTCTGTGTTCTCTGAGAAGTTGTAATATTTTACATTATTATTACAGTAATAAAGTCATAATAATTTAAGAAAATAAATTGGCCTTTTCCTCTAATCGAGCAAAGGCTTCTGCTGGGGTACCGGTAATCAAATTCGCAAATTGTTAAATAATATATATATGATTACATTACCTAGTGATTACTTCTGATGGTGGTGCGTGGTTGCCTGGGGGTTGGGCGCGTGGGACATTTTGGGCATATTTGTTTCCATCTCTATATATATTAGAATTACATACTTAACATCTACTCACTAACCTAAATGCACATTTTAACTACTGTGTTCACCTTGTGACCTTTTATGTAAAGCGAAAGTACTGTTTGTTTGAGCATTAACCTACTGTATCAAGACATGGGATACAGCCGGTTGCACACAATTTAGTATGTAAATATCAAACAATAAATACTTCTATTCAGTGACTATTACACCAGCATTCTCAGAAGTACTGTTTATGAGAGCAGCACATGTACTGTATGTTGATTAAAGTGTCTCGCCACTGCCTTTTGTGCAGTTTCAAGGTGAAGTGAAATATTCAATAAAATATTCCTTTTCAAATACTTATGAGTCTTGCTTTCAAAATTTGATTTACGATGTCATAAAATCCTACATGATGAAGCACTGTATCCGTTCAAACCCTCACTGCCTACACCAGCTCCTCTGTTGCTGGGCAACAAGCCCACGGATGGATCCATTGTCTTGAGGGGCATGTGGATCCCTAAAACGTTCCTCCACCTCCCTGACATTAAGATCGTTTTTAAATGTACCTGGCCGGCAATTTTGACTTATGATTCACTTGTGGGCCGCTGCTTCTAAAGGGTTATTAAATATACAGTCTAACATTTAGATGATGGAACACATGACTGTACAACTAAAACTGCCTATTTTTAAGGAGACGGACATCAGTTTTTGACTACTTTAGTCAGGAATCCTGTACTTTACTATTTAGATGTGTAAGATGTGTTCTACCTCTGTATGAGCATGTCAAGGGAGGCCAAACCTCATGCATGTTGATGGTTTTGTTTAGTAATGTTTACTGCATGTCAATGCGTGTTACTGGCAATTAAGTTAAAAAAGTTCTATACAGTAAGACTAAAAGTAACATATCAAAAACATCTGAACAAACAAAAGGTCCTCGGGGACAACTGAGCATCAGACCAACAACCCTCTAACTAACACAACCTGCTCTACCTCCTAAACCGCACACGCGTACACCAACCCAAGTGGTCGCCCTCCCACCCACACAGCTTTATCCCGTACCTTCAGCTATTCTAATCTCATGCTTGTGTCCACAGACTTTCAGACGTGAACGTTGCCATGAGCAGTTGGTTGTATGGACTTTACATGCAGCTGCCTTCAGAGCAGACCATTGTACTCCCTTCTCTCTCCATCTGAACTTAACCCCCGGAGGGACCAGATCAGTGCACATTCAATTAAAGCATGAGTAATGCACTACGTGGCTAGAAAATCCGTTTTAGTCCTGATACCCCCTCGGCTAATAATATTACACGGTTTGTTTTACAAGGGAGATTTTTTTGTTACCTTTTGCTCTCCAACTCTTTTTTTTACTGGTTCTCCTCTCTCTGCTTCTTTTCCTCTATTCACTACCACTGCATCCTCCTCTCTCTCTCTCTCTCTCTGTCTGCCTCTTGCTGTCTCGCCCTCTCATCTTCAAGGTCCAAGTCCCGGCATCGGTTTAGATGAGGCAGTGCCGTCAGTTTAGAGGTAATCTGTGTTGTTGTTGTTGTGCAAGAAGAGGCCCTAATAACATTCAGCGTCACATGATGTAGCATACCCCATGCTGCGGGAGACACACTGAGGAAATCAGATTCATTGCCCTGTGATGAATGAAAGGTCTTTGATTTAGAAGGTTTGAATTTACAGGAATGTTTGGTCTCAGTGAGGTTTGATGACATTAACATGAAAAATCAATAGTTTTTCATCAGATTGCCTTGATGTGATCAATACATTCTCTTGTTTCTCTTTCCCCTTTGATCAGCGACAGATGATCTCTCAAGTAACTGAGGGCCTGACAGCCTCCTTCACAGCCCTGCCCCCATGACTGACACACACACACACACACACACACCCACACACACACACAATGAAAATGCACACAAATTCACACACATTTTCCAACCTTTTCCATGATTATGATGTGTGAATGAACATGGTTATTTATTTTTTGTATTCTTTCTTATAATGTCAAATGCATAATTCAGCAAAAGAGCCGGGAAAGTATATTCATCTCACTACGTGCCTCCTACCACTCACCTTCTCATTACTCTCTTGTTCCAATTAAACACAATAAGAAGACAGGCTGGATCATTATGGAGAAACCCATTTCCAAATGGCATGCCTCAGTTGGTCTGACTTTATTGCAGATGGGGATTGGAAAAGTAACGCTCATTCATTCTGGCAAGATAACCAGCACTCTCTCTGCAATTAGGAAGTTGTGGGCAGTCAAGTGAACTTGACACAGGGTTTTACATATCCGTTTTGCATGTTGCAAATAGGGTGTTTTTTTCTGAGAAAGAATAAGGGAAAGGAAATGACTACAGGTTACTATTACATAAAATGAAGAAATTGAAATCCAGTCCGTAACCCCAAATCTGAATGAATAATGTAAATTAAGTAATAGGCATCATAATCTACTTTTTCAGCCCCACTCAAGCCTGAAGGCAAAGCCTTTCATTTTTTCAATAAAGCGCTTATTTCCAGTCTCCGTAAGTCAGAGCAGTATTTCTGCTGCACAACAGAGTACATGCTGAGGAGGCAGCCTTTTACAGACTCATGTCTATTTCTGACACCTCTTGTATTTCCAATTGATTTAAATTCTGATCATTCACAAAATAATCCAAGCACAGCTGTACAATATAAGTAATACATGGATGAATGGATCCATTGAGGGATTTTATTTAACACAAAGTAGACAACATACCCATTCATGGATTGAATTTGAATTATATTTAGCCTACTAAAAAAGTTATATACATATACCCATGAGAAGCAATCATGTGGTGTAAATTGGCCTGAGGGCTGATGAAGTCAGATGTGTGAGAATTAACTGTAATATAAGAGTAGACCAGCATAAGGCGCTGTTTCCCCTGAATAGCCTGAGCAAATTTGCAGTGCGCCTTGCTTTACCGTAATGTAGTCATTCATTTCGAAACATTGGGAGAGAGGGGGATCAATTTAAAAAGATGAACATGGGTCAAATGTTATCTTAAAGGATTTAACATATGAGTTCGTGTAGATTATACTGTATTCTTTAGTGAAAATCCCATTAAATAATAATAAAAAAATGACATTTTCAAGTGGCACATCTACTCCATCATTTACCGTAACCAGTCCCGGTGTCAAGACGAATTCTCGCGATAGTTGCTGGAGCTGAAAATCCTAGGAGCAAAGCAGGGAGCATGACATGTCAACAAAACAGATAAGATTACCAACACACAGGTAACATTACACGTTGTCTAATGTGCTATTGAATACATATGAACACTCACCTCGGTGTTAAGCTTCACATCGTGCCGGAATAATGACACGAGACACAGAAAGATGAACCGAGAGAAAGCTGTCGTGTGTGGTGTGACTGTCCACTTAGCTTTGGTGTCCTCCACTCCACGTTTACATGGTAGCTAATTAACCCGATATCAGACTGGATGCTTTCGGGTACGGTTTTTGAAGTCCGGGGCAACATCTAACAGACTTGTACTGATGTAAAGGCGCGTTTAACTGCTTCTCAAACCCTGGTGTTGAACTTCTAGTGAAGGCTAAAGCGTTAGCTCATGGACTTTGTCAGTGTCGGATGTGTTTATCTAGGCAGCGCCTCGTTTTAGTTAATTCGGGACAGCTGTGAAGCTTTTAGAGAGCTATACTGCTTAGGTGTATAAATGGTGTACTTTATTAACCACACCACTGTGCTTACATTAGTTTATTCATTTTGCAATTGCTGTCTAACACAAATAGGTATTTTATCTTATGTTTAATATGTCATATTTTACATCTAAGTCTGACTTCTGCACATTTCTGTGTCTTGGATTCTCATTTGTTCTGCTTTGATTTTCTTTTTATACTTCTTTGTTTGAGCATTGTTGGAGTGAGTCTGAGATCAAAGACTTTCATTGCCAGCGACTGATGTAATTGTTATGAAAAGAACAATAAATGAATTGAACTTGACTGATGATTCAAGCTAAATGTCATCTCAATACCCTTAAACATTGATGTGACTACTCGCCTCATCTCAAACCTTCATTCACTCCTACTTTCTCCCTCTTTGTCAACATTTCCCTCCCCTTGCTCCCACTGCTGCACTTCATGTAGGCATGTAAGGGTGTGCTGGTGTGGAACAGCCTGACGGGTAACTTCACCTGGACCTACGCTTCCTCCACCAGCATCCTCACCTGCTGTGTCCATGACAACCCCTCCGCTCGTGTCGCCTTTTGGCGGGCAGCCTCCGCCACCGCCGCCGCCGCCACAGCAGCCGCAGCAGCAGGCCCAGGCAGCACGGGATGTCAACACGGCCTCTCTGTGTCGCATCGGCCAGGAGACGGTCCAAGACATTGTCCTCAGGACCATGGAGATCTTCCAGCTCCTCAGGAACATGCAGGTCTGTCTCACTCTCTGGCTACACGCCTGTCAAAATGTCAGTTTCCTGTGTGCCTCTCCTTTTGTCTTTTTATTATTGTTATTTGCATGTTTTTTCCCAAAGCCCTACCAACACTTTTATTGCCATAAAAACACCAGCATGAGAGGAGCAAAAACTGCAATACGGAGACACAATATAATTAAACAAATCTATACAAAATATTAAACAGCAGAATGTAATTACAAAGAGCCAAAAAACAAAGTATAAAGAAATACGACAGCAATATTCTAAAATGGGAATAATGGGGTTGATCGTAACATGACAGATCACTATTATGCAAGTAACAAAACTGCTGTCGGTAATGTAGGAGAATGTTTGGTCTTAGTCAGTGGCACACATGCAGAATTCTTCTTCTCAGGCTCAGCTTCAGATTTCTTGAGCATTAAGGCACGCAAAGAATGGATTTATTATCTAATTTCCTCAGTGTTAATTATGAATCGGTGCAAAAATGTCACGAATATAACGCTTAATGTTAGGGATACGGGGTCCAAGCAGTGTTTGCATTTGTGAGGAGAGGCTGAGTGTCACAGAGTTGAACAGCACAACAATCTCTCGCATATATACTAAGCAGCTACGTAGTGCAGCTAGATTGTTATTATCAAAGCTTTTGGCTTAATGATGCATATTTCCCATCAGTGAATAACAAGTGTTATCAATGTGTTCATGATAGGAAATCCAACACTAGCTTAACAAGGGTTTTGCGCTCATGTTTCCAGTGATTTGTCTTTGTAGAAGCGGCACTACTTTCTGTCTTTGTTGTCATAATGTAGACGGAGCTATTTCAGATAAAGAGAGATGATCAAGGCCACAGACCAACTTTTAATTCTAACTAAACATTTTGTTTGGGGGACTTTGTCGCACATAGAATGTTGTTTGAAAAGTTATCAACGTCCTGCCTCAAATATGTCTCTTTTTTTTTTTTTTTTTTTTTTTTTTTTTTTTTTTTACTCGGTACATTGCAATCAAGTGAGGGCGGGAAGTTGTCGAATCACATTAAAGGTTGGAGCCGGTGAATCCCTCGAGGATTTGATCGAGGGTATCGGTTTGCTCTGCAGTTCACATGTTGCTCAGCTCTGATGGTGACTCTGAGACGCTCCTCCTGCAGCTTGTTAAAATCACGAGCACGCCTCAGCCACAGAATGCACAAACAGCATTGATGTGACTTGTTGTTTTTTTAGATCACAGGCTTTCCTTATACTCATAAAAACTCTTTATTTATCTTACGTGCCTTTATCCATCTCTGTCTGTCTCCCCGCCCTGTTTCTCTGTTTTCTTTGTGTGCCTGTCTCTCTTCACTTTGCCTGCCCTGAAGGCCCGTTTCATGTTATGTAGGATGTTGATAATCAGACAATGCTGCCCCAGAGGTTTGTCGATGCTCTCAGTAAAAACATGTCTTGTTACTCTTTGACAGCCATTGAAGTTAAAAGCCAGTGATGCTGCCTCAGTACGAGAGTGAGTGAAAGCATTCAAAGTGCAGCAGCTGAAGCAGTTAACCTTTTGAATCAGCGGAGTCTTCTTTGTTTTGTGGTTTAAACTGGGATTTCATGAAGACCAGTTACTGTTGCATGAATACAAACATGTAAAAAAAAAACATTTGTTTTAAGGTTTCTCTACAGCTCAATTTCTCTCCATCGTAAGTAGAAAGGAAACTATCACTTTGTTATCTTTCAAAGTGCTGTGCATTAGTAGAAGGCTGCTAATTAACTCTTACTAGTGAGGGAGCAACAGAGGGTTTGCGGTGCCTTTCGCAATCAACGGATGTTTCTTTTTAGTAGCACTTGCAAAAATTGTGCGCTTGTACTTTGCTTAACGCCAACATGTCCTTCTGTGTTGCTTCTCAGCTGCCCAATGGAGTCACTTACAACCCCAACACCCACGGGGACAGGCTGGGGAAACTACAGGAGCACCTACGGATGCTCTCTGTGCTGTTCCGCAAGCTGCGCCTCGTCTACGACAAATGCAACGAAAACTGCGCCGGGATGGACACCGTGCCTCCGGAGGTGAGACGCGGTGACACCGACGAGATTTTGATCTTCTTTTATTTCTGTGATTAGAGAGCAAGTGTGCGGTTTGAATACGTTTTTGCACATTACGAAGTCTTAACGAGTCAAAGAATCCTGCTCACCTGTACTTATAGTGATAACTCATAGTCCATAAGTACAACAGACAGTCCGTGGGCCATGTCTCTGCTGTAGCACACACTGGATGTGTCACACAGACGGATGTAGTAGTCAGGGCAGTGTAGCTGAGTTGGAAAACAGGACAGTGGTGAATCCTGGTGCGTTGTGTGAGGGCTTTTCATAGAAAACGCTCCTGACTTCAGATAACTGTGGTGATAAATCAGCAGCATAAACACGATGAATGCCTCCCGGGCTTAAATGAGCACATGCTCATGAGAATTGTAAATTGGCATACTCGTGCCCCAATAATAACATATTAGGCTACGCATCCTGCCCCACATATCCTATATTAAAGTCCTGCTTTTGGAGATACATAAAGGCAAGTCTATCATTGTTAATGATTTAGGGACCTGCTGAAGCCCAGGAATGGGGGGGGGGGGGATAAGGAGCGCTGTTAATCATACAGCTGATAGTCATACTGTCACTGAGATAAAGGAGAAATGGCACAGCAAGGCGATCGATGACTACAACGGGAGAGGATCTAATGATTTCAGGCGCGTTGCAGTTAAAGATGTTTGTATTGATGTTGTGGTGTGATACAATAGCATCAATAGCCAATTTAAACGAAAGGTGAGATTGGTGGGCTATGGGAATACATGTAGTTATATTTGAATCACAGAGTCGAACAGGATAATGTCAACATCATTATGAAGTGTATTTCACATCGGGTTTTCAAACGGCAGACCAAATACGTATATATGACCACTCGTAAACTTAAGAGAAATTTCAAAATAAGAGCAAATGCGGACCCAGCAAGTGCACGTTCTGCACAACCATTGTACTGTAAAAAAAAATATCATTGTCCTAATAAACTCAGTAATTAGTGCTTACGAGAGAGGTTGTAGCAACTAAAGATGTACAACTTTTTAACATACCTGTAGTAGAAATGTGCCTTTTAAATGCATACAACAGAATAAAGTCTTATCTTATCTTATTTGGGTTACTACCCAAAAAGGAAGGATGATTTTACAATGATATTTACCACTTTTTTATTATTTATTTACCTTTTATTACATCATCACTTCACCCGCTCTTATTACACACCTTAAAATATGTTATGCAGTAGTGAATGGCTTTTTGATGTGACTGCATTTTATTTATTTCATCTTTATTTGAACAGGACAGGTTGTCCGAGGACACAGTGCTCTTTTACAGCAATGACACTTAAGCAGAACAATAGAAACGAAATAACAAAAACGGACAGTGAATCAATCAAATAAACCGTAAATCTGACAGTAAACAAGGTTCAGCCTCACAGGCAGAGAACATCGTTGTATGGAGGTAGCGAGGTATGCTTGGGCGTGTTCTCAGGTTTTATATTGATCTATTGATCATTACATTCTCACCTGTCACTGAGATGTTATCCTATCTCACCCGACCTCAAATCAAGTTTTGCTTGCTTTGCTCACAAGAGAGGCTTGCATCACTGCGGGCTCCGGGAGGAGTGAGCGCAGCATCTGAGGTGGACTTGTAAAGACGGAATGAAGGAATGAATGAATGAACACCGTCGAGAGGTTTATTTTGAAGCCTGGAGAGGGGGTGTGAATATTCACTCCGTAGATATAATTCACCACATGCACTGTACACATTACCTCTGCAATCAGCTCGCATGATGTGGCTCTAACGACTGTGGTGTGGTGGTGGAACCACATTTCTAATTAGACGTGATTAACCCTTCCAGAATGCAAATGTCAACACATGCTGTATACGCCACTTCCTCATATAGCCCAGCTCTTCACACAATCTGCCTGCTAAATTAGAAAGCTGTTAGTTTACAGGAAGTATTTGCAACCACCCCACCCCCCCTTATCTCACCTACTCCCTCCAGGCCTGTCTTTTCTCCGCTTTAGGCGAGTCTCTAGAGTCTCTTTACCGCCGCGTACGGCCGCCGTCCACAAACAGCACTTGAGCTCGGCCACATTCCACCCCGGCCTGCCCGCACAGAAATACACGTGTGCATGTGCACAATTGTGACACACACCCAATGAATATAGGACAACGTTAATGTGCACGTGGTGCACTGTAGCATGTCACAAATGCACTCACACACAGTGGGCATGCACTGTTCGCGGCTCCATGCAGGGCTACAGCTAGGCTATCCACCACTGTTTGATTGGATTTATGACTGCGGCAGTCCCTTCCCAATTTCTACAGATTGCCTCGGAGCTAATCTTTCTCTCACCAGACTCTTACTGAGGATAAAGGAGGATGTGGGAGGGGACCGGTCTCAAATTGGAACTAATTTGCGATGGCTGCCACCACGTACGTTTTCTGCGAATTGAATAATACAGTTGCTCAGAAGCATTTTTTAACGATCCAGCCGCTGGCTGTTCGGAACGACTCTTCATCTCGTCTGCAGTTCCGCCCCTAAATCAAAGCCTGTGAAAGGGTTCAAACTTTAGTGTTTTCTTTTGTGCTGTAATGGTGTAAACCCTCATTGAGTCATCGCACCATCTAGCTATTCCCCCCCCCCCCCCCCTTCTTATTTCCACCATATTCAAATGTTTGTTTATTTCCCCGTGGGGCTGAGACCCAGCCTGTTGCTGACCGGCCAATAGCTCAGCTCGCCATGTTTGTCTGGGGCTGAGGGTTTGTTGATTTTGGCCCCGGCACGCATGTCATTCATCATCATCCCACAGAATTCAGGTGCCTGCCTGACAGGCGCTCACTATTGGCTGCCTGAAACAGGAAGTGGAATCAATGACTCGGGTAGTGTGACCTCATTGCAGCCTAATTAGCAACAGACCCGTTTAATGAACAGCTGGACCAAAATCACACGTCAGCGCTTTCCCCTTTTTCGTTCCAGCTGTCGTTCTGTGCTTCCCCGCTGCTGCTTTTTCCTTCCTCGTTTTTTCTCAGGCTCCCTCCTTTTCTGTATTTCTTCTCACTTCTTCATATCCCTCTTTTTCCACCTTTTGTCTGCTTTCTCTCTCTAATACCTGCTCAATATTGCCTCCCCCCCCCCCCCCATTTCCTTCTTCCTCCCTCTCTTTTTTTCAAGTGTATTTGTTCCCGTTGGCTTTGTTTCGCTCTCTTTCTCTGCAGCTGTCTCTTCTGTTCTCTTTTCTCTGTGGTGCAAGTCTTCCTCCCCCTTGTCATTTCCTGCACTGTCCAGCCATGCCATTTCATTTCCCTCTCCCCTTACACGTCCTCCCCCTTGGTTTGTTGATATGTTTTCGGTTTGCGTTTTCTACCCTTTTCTTTTTGTCCCGGCGAGGCAACCTGGAGAACTTCATTAGCCCATTCCTCTCTGTCAGGCAGGAAACCACATCCATCTTTCTGTGGAAGAGGCAGGGGTTATGACTCACACACACACACACACACAAATACACACACACACACACACAAATACACACACACACACACACACAAATACACTCTTCGTCCATCTTTCCCACCCTACTCAGCATATTTCATTTTCCCCTCAGAAGCTGCCAAAATCAGCCTGCTACCTTTTTAAAAATTCAATGTTATTGGCTTCAGTTTGAAATGATCTAATGAAAGAAACTTTCCTCTTTTCTTACTTAAAGTTTCCTCGAGCCAAAGACAGTTTGTCTGATATAATATCCTGCACATGTCCTTGCTGTCTCGTCTCCCTCCAACAGTCAGAGTTTGCAGTTTGGCGTGAAGCTCCGTCTGGAATCTGACAGGAGTGCATAAAGTTGTCCAGATTTTTACATCTTACTGTCACTCCCCCCCCACCCCCCCCTGCCTTTTTCTGTGCCTCGTATTCGCTCTCTCTTGCTCTCCTTCAACCCTCTTTCCCCCTCTGCCTATCTGACACTTTGTTCATCGTCTTGCAGTCCTCTCCTCTTTTCGCACTACTTTCATGTTATCCTCGATGTTGGCCAGCTCCCGCCGCACTAAGACACCATTCAGTCATTGCTTCCAGAAGAAGCAGCTTATTCCAATCACTGTTTATTGTCCGCAGCGCCTCCACTCCTCCAGCTGCACAACCTCTGGTCAAACGATGTAGGAAAGCCGAATGTTCTAAGGAACTTCGCGTGATATAGATTTGCATCGTGCAAAGTCGTTATTGGAGAAAAGTGTGTTTTCCAACTTTATGGCTTCTAGTTGTTCGTAGAGTCTCCCCCCAATCTGACTTTGTGAGCTTGTCTGGTGTGACTAGTTTCTGTTTTGGAAAGGAAGTGGTAGAGAGTGTAAAACACCACTGCAGATAATTTTGCACCTTCAGTCAAAACCCATTCAAAGTGGTGTCGTAGGTCTGAGAATGCTTTGTGGATTTCTTTGTGGAGTGTTAAACTATAAAATTGACTTTACGTCAACATAAGTGATGCTATGTATTTCCTTGAAACTCTGCACAACAGCGCAGACATTTGTCTACATTTACAATGTGTGTCCGTTCAGGAGCTCCACAGCGATCAGCGAGCATATCATCAATCACGCACGTCGTGCGAGGAACGGTGCGTTCTCAAGACACACTGCTTGACGTGCGACTGCAGCAGGCCTCCCGCACGCCTCCTCCCCGAGGTCGACCACCGGGGGGCAGTGTGATGCAAAGCAGCGGGGAGGTGACCCCGTCGGAGGGCTCTCTCGCACATCAGCCTCGCTGTAGTGTCAAGCAGACAAGGTCAAGCATACAGAGCGTTTAAAAGGGAGTTAATCTCCGACTCGCTCTCCGTACCGTCTCTCTATACGTTGGAAAGAGACGGGTGAGGCTCATCCTGTGTTCGAGGGCTTAACACAGAATCCCCATTTTCACCACTTCAAAGGGAAACAAGACTATCAGACAGCACAGGGATATCTTTTAGTGTGGGATAGCACTCATAGGTTGAGCTTGCCCATATGCACAGAAGTCTGAGCTATGACTGCACTCTTCAGGGCATATTAGGAACGATGTGAATATGCAGCACTGTGCTTTTAATGTATTTGGATCATGGAGAGAATGAGAGCAGAGAGGAACAAGAAAAGAGTGCATTAAGAGTGAGTTTTGCTTGCTTTACAGTGAATAATATTGCCAGGTTTTTGTTTTGCTGTACCTTCCAGCAACTGATACCCTTCGTGGATGATGACAGCTCTAAACATGAGGATCGCTCAGCTGGCCAGAGCCGCCCTGCCACCGAGGAGAGGAGAGAAATCCTGGAGGTCAACAAGGTACCGTGTTCCATCTCAACAGCACAACACTGTTAAAAGGGGGGACGGGTTTGATTCCCAGCCGGCAGCAATAAAATGAGAAGGAAGGGCTGATGAAAGAAAAGTGGGGGAGGAAGAAAGGGTTTTACAAAGTGATAGCGTGAGATTTGATCACAGCTTAGCGTGATGTTATTTCAGATTAGTAAAGTTTCAGCTAACCTCTCAGATCCACGAGCCTTCAGACATTTCAAATCACATCTACTTGAGCTGGAGGGGGGAAAACACAGCGTCTCATATCATCTTAAAGATTTAATAATAAGATAGAAATTAATTACGGATTAGTCATTTTACACACCGTCCTTAAACTTAAGCCTTGCAGTAATAGCCCACTTCTCATTAATTGGATAACAAGCATCCAGGTTGTGACGGTGCGGTTTGTACAAAACAAAATTAAGAGACTACCCTTGATGAACTTTATTGTCTGCTGATAGAGTTTGTGTGTATGAAGGGGGCAATGTGCTGGTGGGAAATGCTACAGCAGTATCACCAGGACATTGAAGGTGTTTGGATGTACAAACGTGTGCTGGTGTGAGAGTGGCTTTATATGTACTCCAAGGACACCTGCCCTTCTGTCCAACAGAAGTCATTTAAAGTCTGAAGGCCCTGGATGTTTTTGTTCAATATCACATGGAGATCAGGCAGAGACCCTATGGACTGGCTTACAAGAGGGTGGCCATCTAAACATAAAGCTAGGAATCTCTGTCTCGGTGTTCTTCACATATCTCGAGAACCGTTCGTCCGATCTGCGTCACACTCGGTGGGTGTCGAATGTGGTGCAATTTGGCGAGATGGTGGTGCTTTAACTGTCAACTTTACATTTTTGAGACGGTGTCTTGTGGCAGGTAGTCATGAACTATAGAGTGCTGAGATTTCTGCTTCAATCCATCTGGTAGGCTACCTGTAATAGAAAGTACTTTGTCTGTAACCTTGATAGTAAGTCCGACTTGTGAGTAATTCTGTTTCTTGTCATGGACACAATATCTAGGTGGAGCTGAGGATTGGAGTATGCATGTGTGTATCTATAGTTTGGCAACCTCATGATTGTATTTCTGCTTTTTGCTGAGGATGCAGTACTGTAGGTCTCATTGGAGCTCGATCTCCAGCACTGAGTTCTGCAGCAGAGTGTGAAGTGGTTGGAATGAGAGTCACCATTTCAAAATCTCAGGCCGTAGTACTTTACCATAGAAACTGTGGTCTGTCAGGTTGGGCCTGAGCTGCTGCCCCGCGTGAGGGAACACAAGTACCTTTGTGTCTCGTTCACGAGTTAGGGAAAGATGAGGTGCGAGAACGACAGATTGGTGTGACGCCAACGTGTGTTGTAACAGCCTTTTCATGTCAAAAATAAGAAGTTAAACGGGGAGTGGCTCTGTGAAGTTAAGTTATAGCTTTAATGATTGTAACATATCTGATTTACACCTCTGACCAGTGATCACAAATCATGAAATTATAGTAATGAGATGCTTTTGTGTTGCCTGATATGCATAAAAAGATTCAAACACGAGTGAAAGTGAGCAAATATGTTACCTTTATAGTAGGCTATATAAATATAATGCAAATATCGTGTGGGGTGTCTTGTGAGTGAAGTGTTCAGTTCTGGAGGGATTTCAAGTGGCGGACATCAAACACACCTAAGAGCTCTTTCAAATGTGTTCACTGTCAGACATGTCTTTGCCAGCTCTGGAGAGAGGCTGTTTCATGACGTTCTGAAGTGCAGAGAGCTTTACTTCAAACTGACGCGCCATGTTGATCGTCAACGTCTCAAAGTTTACTGGATCCTGAGTCGTGGTTTATGGGTACATGCTACAGACTAACTAAGGGGAATTTGAGCACAGTGATGATGAAGGCGTGCTGTCATATGTAATGAAACATAATCCAACAATAGAACAATGAAGCTACTGTCTACCTCATACTGCAAGACATTACAAATATTTTTGTTTGATATTTCATTTTTAATGTTATAAATCCTGGTTAATTTGTTTCACTCCTGCTGTCAAATTATTTGATGTCTTGTTTTGTTCACCCATTTTTGACAAACAGCTGATGTCAAAGCTAACCGTGGGAAGGAATACGTTGCATTTCCTGTCACTGCTTCACAATAAAAGCCACCCTGTGGTTAGATGGGTTTTTAATGTGAAGCTGTAGCTTTGTGTTAGTAGTAAAATGAGGAGACACAATGACAAACAATCACAAACAGTGATGCTTTATATACACATGTATCATTTCTCGCGAATCCCTTGAAGGCAATTTCAATCCAGCGTTTGTAATGGCGTACCCCGCCACTAACGTCAAAAAACTGCACTATTGATGGGTAATTACTGAAAAGAAATACAGTGAGTGGCTGCTACAGACAATTACACCGTAAACACTATGAAAATGTGGTGTGATATCATGGAAATTACAATGAAACGGTTCTAAACATTTCTGCAAGTGAGGAGCGATAATCCCATTCACGTGACTCTCACTGTTACCGCTGAGGTAGTTCAGTGTTTAAATGTTTCAGTGACTAGCAACAAGGCCGAGTAAAACAGATCACTCAATCAAGACAAAGACGGGATTTAAAGTACATGCTGATTTACATATTAAACAAATTAGATGCAAAACTGAATGTTTTTTTTGTCACAGTGCTGCAAAGCCCCGCTGAACTGACCGCTGGGACACGACACAGCTTCTCTTATTACTGACAAACCCCTTGATGTTTTGGCATTTGCCGTGATGGATTATTTGCGAGTCCACGATTACGTTTAATCTCCCCCTGTGAAACGGACCCATCGAGATGACATTAAAGCGCCGTGTGCTAATGTCATCCTTGGGTCGATGAAACCTGGATCCTGCACGGACGCAGGTGAGGTAATCAGCCAGAAGTCAGACACAATACCTCCCATCAGTTCCCGTAGCTGACTTGAGTACAGCAGTTATGGACAGTGGAGCGTTGCAAAGGTCCATGTAAAAGGCATCGTGCATTATTTAGGAGGCCTTTTTAGTTTGCGCCGTCTGTCACGGATTTGTTTTGTTTGTATATGTGTGCGTGTACCGAGTTCGAGAGAGTGAGAAGGAGCTTTTTGTTCTTTCTTCAGAGAGAGAAAGATTGTGTTTGCCGTCGCTTTCACACATGCTTTCATTGTGTGCTGGTGCTGGCTGAAGCCCTTCTCTGTTTCCTCTCTTTGTATGTGCATTGTGCTGGCTCTCTGTACAGATTGTGCATGCCAAACCGTCTGAGTGTGCCGCAATGATAATGGTCCAAGGTCAGGAGTGTCGGCAGCAGAGATGAGAATTGGTTATTTTTAAGAGCTCAGCACAGCTCCCCTGGCTGCTTTTAAATGTTAACAGTACAGTGAAGGATTGCTGCGAACCTTGCGCTGAACTGCACTCACTCGCCTTTTCACAAAAAAACAGACTCCATACCTGCAAAGAGTACGGTTAAAGACTGCAGATAGTGTGGTAGATAAATACCCAAGTTCTTATTCCAACTCTTTGAATGCAATACTGGACTGAAGAACAGAATTTTGTTTTGGCATTCCTGCAAAAAACTGAACAAAACAAAAACTCTTTTCAGAGTTTCATTGACAGAATAAATACTGGACTCGGAAGTTAATTTTGTCCTGTTAGAGATCTGTGTATGGATGTGATAAATAACCTTGTTTATGATATGACCTTCCCCCTATGCAAAGCATGAGCATGCAAATTGAGTTCCGCCAAATGATCCAAGTATATACAGAGATTGATGTAGAGATTGAGCAGACAGCCCTACCGTAATACGCTGAGGGAAGCTTTTCCTCACATTCTGCACAAACAGACCTTATTATGCAGTTTGTCTAAAAAACAACTCGTTATACTGTCCACAGTATGCACTAGATTTCATTTGTTTTAATATTATTATATTATATTATTTCAGTTGTCTCGCATAAAAATCTTTCTTAAACTTTCTTAAGCTACATCTTTATGATTAGTCTTGATTTAATAAGGGGACTTATTAAAGGTAAAATTTCAGTAATAGATTTACAGTAATCTTTTACTGCTATCTTATAATGTCCTCGTGTGTCGTTGGCCTAAAGTTCACGTCAGCCATTTATGTGTTAGCCGTGGCACTAGCCGGGGACTGTGTACGTCTTGATAGTTTGTTTATTGAATAAAAAGCAAAGTGGCAGAAATGAGAGAACTCAGATTTTCGCTTCGTCATCTCCGCCACCAGGAGACAACTTCAACGGGAGGAGAGCGAGCGGCGATGCTGGGAGATTAATCTTTAGTTAGCGGCCAGTGGAGTGTTTGCTGATCCGGTGGGTGTCGGGGCAGTCACCCGAGGTCAGATCCCCAGAATGCTAATTCCTACAGATAACTGCCAACTGAGGGTCCGTCTCCCAGAGCCACTATAAATGAAAATAAGGGTCGGTTTCTCTTCTCTGCCACTTTGAATTTAATCCAATAAACAAACTATCGAAACACACACGAACTCTGTACCTTCAATGTGATCGACAAGCCCTCAGGGCAGCTCTACTTCTTCTTAGACACTGTTCGGTTGATATGTTGGGTCACTTTTTGAAACTAATATTCTGGCCAGATATTACACATTGCATCTTTTAAGGGTTATTTCGGTTCACTGTTACCTTAAAAGTGTCCCACTCAATGTATTCACATTCAGTACTGTGAGTATCCTTGAGGACTATCAAACGTGTTGAATGCATTTCCTTTGCGCAAACATATTTGCAATTCAAATTATTGAAACCTGTAGAATAATTTGAAGGTGTTGGCAAAAATGTCCATAATGTCACCTGCGTGCACAAGAACTGACAAAACAGGGACCCACATATAAAATGCATGCTCCGTAGTGCTACCAGTGGTCAGAATAAAGTAGAATCTACTTCAGTACATTTATGATACAAAAAAGCCAGTCTGAATTAAATAGAAAATATTCAAATAATGAATTTCCTTCATTTGTTACCTATTGGTGCATCATGACTGTCTGT